AAGGGAATGTTAAAAGATTTGGTTTTATGTATATCGAGAGCCCATTGTAGTCCGATTCTAGAACAAACCTGGATAGATAAAAAATAAAGTTGGACACTATCGGTTTTAAACCGGAATTTTTGATATTTTTCTGGACAAATAAAATCTAATTAATATATAAAAATACATTTATCATTTTAATTAAACATAATTGTAATATAATGGCCCAGTCCGCCTTTTTCCATGTGATACTAAATATTTTTGAATAGGGAGACTTGAACTCCCTAAATTTTAAAAGAAATATGTATGCATGTACTACTCTTATCCTCTATCCCTTTTTATTCGCCCAATTCCCACTTATTCCTCGTAATTACAAATCCCCCGATGAAGTATTACTTATTAAGGAGCTATATTTACACATAGGGACCAATATGGATACCAATACAAATAAGGCCCGAGAAACTCATTAACCCACCTGCAATCTAGAAAAAATGTACTTTATTTGTTTTACGTTTGAACATGCCAAAAACTTATCATAAAAAGGATATAAAACCCCTTTTTTAATTTAAATTGTCTTGTAATACAAAATTTCAATTGAATAATTGCTCATAAAAATTTTTATTGGGCAAGTAAACTTTCATTAGTCTATTAAACTGTACGATAGCCAATTTTTTTAGCATGTTTTGTCAGATACTCTTTTCAATTTGCTAACAAGCACCAGATTATGTCCCTTAAAAATTTGTAATCAACAAAAACAAAAATTTAATTATTTCATTAACTTTAATAATTGCTTAACTTATTGGATAAATAAAAATAAAATCTACTTAATATATAAACATATATTTATGATTTTTCTTAAATTATCAAAATCCGATAATTTTGTAATTTCTGCCAGTATTCTGTTAAATTTTTGAATAGGGAGTAACATCTCCATAAATTTTCTATTGAGGTTTCATTGAGAATTATTAAAAATGTGTGAACGTTTGAAATTTGTGCGTGATTTTAAATTTAATTTAAAAAAATTTTATTTTCTTCAAAATTCACTTTTTCTAACTTTTATTGTGTTTGTATTTTCTTCTCATTTTTTTCTTAAGTAATTCTATTAATATAGCCGTTCACAAATTTATATTAGATTTTCTTTGTTCGGTTGCCTTGGACAACGCGGGGAACATTTTTGAGTTGACAACAAAAAAGAAAAACTTTTAAACGAAGCTTGAGGTGATTCTTTTCTTTAAACGACGGCAAAAAACTCTTTTACTTGCTTACTTTGTTGTTTTACTTAATAGTTATTTTCTCATTAATTTTTCTTGTTAAATTTCAAAATTCCTCCCCTTTTTTAAACAAGAAAGTGAACTATAACTTGAGATAATCGAAGATTTAATGAGCATGTAGAGCCGGATTTTTATTGAAATGTTACTTCCTTTTTGAATACATTTCGACAAGAAAAGCTCAAATATGCCATTACTTTTTTGCTATTTTGATTTTGAATAAAGTTATATTTCAATATATTTCGATGTTTTAGCAAATTTTTGTAATTTATTTCACTATTTTATGGCCATATTTTGCTATTTTATTTTAATAAAAATCCAATAACTATTAATGAATTTTATCTATTGAATATAGGGGAAAACCTTTAACTTTTGTTTGGATACTTTAAAAGTTAAAAGGAGCAAAAATACTAAGATAATAAATACATCAAATGGCAAAATCATCGCTTAGTTAAACTCAGTTCAGATAAGATTCGAGAATTTTGAATTCGGAAAAATGGCCATGATTCAAGGACAACTCTCTAAAATTTTTAAAGTCGTTTCGTACTAAGGCCGTCTAAATGGAACATAGGGCCTTTCATTATCAACCCTCAACTAAACTTCTAACTTCCCATTCTATTCTAAATTTAGTTATTATTCTCGAATAGTTTCCGTGTTACGCTCTTTTATCAATTCCAACACAATTATTGGGACCAAATGTAATTAATTTTAAATTTAAATAATTTTTTAAAAAGTTTTCAAAAAAATATTTTTTCAATTATTTCCAAGTATTTCTAATTAATTAAATGTCACCAGAAGCACTATAATTCTAATGGGTATGTTTTTATTATTTTATAAAAAATTTTAAATAAATTTCTTCATTTTTAATTTTCTTCAATATTTTTTAAAATTGAAGCTTTTCTCTATTCAATTTATTCACATAAATTTAAAAATTCTGGAGTACTTGAAATTAATTTTTTCATTTTTTCCATTTAATACATATTCTCAATTTTCATTTATTATTGTTTTAAAAATAAATCAAAAAAATTTTTTTCTTTTTCTTTTTGTCATTCCTTTCAATAGCTAATCCAAAAGTAAATAGAAGAGGAGAGAGGAGATCGCATGGCTGTCTATTATAATTTTGACTTTTTAACCCTCTTCTCAGCTTATATTTTTGTATTTTTATTTTCTTCTTTTATTTTCTGTTTCTTTAATTTTTGTTTGTTTAAATATTAAAATACTAACAAGAAAATTTTCGACGGATTTTAAATAAAATATTAAATTACGGAGGCTAACATGACCTTAAAGCAAGAAACAGGGTGTCTTTGTTGAAGCATATCTTTTTTAATTTCCAACCGATTCGAATAATTTTTATACCATTCGAAAGCTCTTGAAAAGAGGATCATTTTTCTATACAGGGTTGATTTTATCAGATAATCTGATAAAAAGTTATAGCCAGATAACACCAAAAATGTCAATTTTTCGCACTTAAAAGGCTGTAACTTTTCAACAAATGATTTAATCTTAAATATCCTGCTAGAAAAAATAATGCTCACATTTAGAGCTTTAAAATGATATAAAAATCCTTCAGATTGGTTGGGAAATCAAAAAGTTGTGGTTAAAAATATCGGGATAACTCAACATCAAAAGGAGGTTAAAAGTTGCGTACTAAAAAAATCAAAAAACCGGTTTTAAATGATCACAACAAGGAAATGTGTTCGTCTTTAAATTTTAATAGTTTAAATAAAAAAAAATCAAATTTAAAAAAGAAATAAAATTCAATAACCGTAAAAGAAAACAAAAAATCTTTTATTTTAATTTTTTCTAATTTTTTTAATTTTTTTTTATTTTTACCTGGCAACGATTTCTTATTAAATTTTAATATTTAAATTATATTTATTAGAAAATATTTTTAAAAAATTAAAAAAATCTTTTTGTGAGTAAAAACTGTCAGGAAAAGCACACAAATTGATTACTCTCGGTTTATTTATTTTTTTCTATTTTTTGTTTATTTAAAACCGTTCGCTGAACTGTGAAGAGCGAACGTCTGCCGTTACAAAAAATATTTTTTTGTGATGTGGCAGAAATTTATTGGAGAGGTGGCGGAGCATCGATTACGCTCAATTCTCTCTCTTTGTCACCTACAAAAACTCTCCTGTGCCATTTATTATTTAATTCTGATTTGTATTTTTATTGTATTTAATTGGGAGAAAAAATACAAATCAGAAATTATTTGTGTTTTTGAGTTAAAGTTTATTTTCTGTATTTTTCGATGTTTTTGTATTTTTCTGAAAACACAAATACATGACAAAAACACAAAAACAATGTTTATAATTTAATTCTGATTTTTAATTTTTGTGTTTCATTTTTCTGATGTTTCTGTAAATGTTTTAATATGTGTTTTTCTGTTGCAAAACACATTAATTCTGATTTATTCCAACAACTCAAAAACATCCACAAAAACATCAGAAACAAAAACACAAAAATTAAAAATCAGAATTTTAAATAAACTTGTTTTTATGTTTTAATGTTTTTCTCAAACAAGTTTTAGTCTTTTTGCAACCTTAAAAACATTTGTATTTTCACAAACAAAATACATTTTTGCTTAAATAAATTTTTGTGTTTTCTCATGTTATACCTAGCTAATTTTCTAATGCTAGCAAAGCTTTTTTTTAAATATTTTTCCAAAAATCGTCATTAATAATTCCCTTACCAAACAATAGTCAAATCTATCCAAATGCAAATCATCTCCAAAAATCAACCAAAATAACCATGCATTTTTACAAAAAATAAAAACTTTGTAAACCAAACACAAAATCAATGCGATAAGCGGCAACATTAAATGCTGCAAATGCAAAATAAAAAAATTAATGTTTATTTGAAAATTATTAAAAATACTAAAATATAATGTTTCAAATTTATTATTTATTGTTACAATCTTTTATTTTCATATTCATTAAAAAATTTTTTTCATTCATTTTAGTAGTTTAATTAATAATCTCTTAAATTAATTATTTATGTATTTCGCCAAATGTGTTTTTTCTAACCGGAAAAATACAAACATTTATTTATCTAAAACACAAAATAAAATTCTGATTAGTGTTTCAGAAGTGTTTGTTTAAATTAAAAATTCTGATTTTTCATAAAAACACAAACACAACAAGCAAGACCAGAAATTGCGTTTAAGATAAATTCTGATTTATTTGTTTTTGTATTTTCTTTAAGTTGCTTTTGAAAACAAATAAACTTGAAGAAAATACAAAAATACTTTTCCGGAAATAAAAACACACAAAATAAACTTTCTGTAACAAAACTCGTTTTAATTCAAAAATTAAATTTTGTAACAGAAAAAGATTTTATTTGAATCATTTAAAATTTAATCTAAAAAAATAAATATATATTTTGTAAAAATGATTCATTTACTAGTTTCATTTATTTACCATTTTCTCTTTTTTCAATGCATGATCCTTTGAATCATTTCCATGATTATTTTTTGGACAAGGAAAAAATTTAATATTGAGAGCAAACATTTATTTTAAATATTTTTAAAATTTTTAAATTTTTTAAAATTTCAAAATATTTTTTAAAATTATTTTTATATTTTTTGTCGTTAATTTGTTAGTTTATTAAGTGTTTTTGTATTTTCGATAAGTTTATTGTTAAAGAGGAAAAATACAAAACTCAAAATAAAACACATTAATTAATTATGTATTTTTTCCAAGTTTATTTTATTAATTGGAAAAACACAAAAAAAATACAAAAAAAATACAAAAACACAAAAACTTTCCGGAACAATAAAATACTTATACATTATTAATTTTCTAAGTATTTCTCTCCAAGTTTATTTCTATACAAATAAATCAGAAAAGAAAATACAAAATTATTTTCCGGAAACACACACACACCTTTTAATTAATTAATGAGTAATTAATTTTATTTTAAAAACAGAGCAATCAGAATCCGACAAACGACATTCATCTGCGTCAATTCCCCCACTCTCTAATTTATCAAATTATTCACCAAAAGAGGTGAAAGAACAGGAAAAAGAAGAAGAAATTTTAAAACAAGAAGAAGAGTCATCATTAAAATCGTCATCTTGTTCTTCTTCTGCTGGTGAAATCACTGACGGTCAAATAAAAGAAGAAGAAAATTTAAAAAATAAAAATAATGTCGAAAATAGCTGTGATAGTAAGGAAAAAGTAAAAAAATATGTATTTATAATTAAAAAAAATTAAATTAATTTTCAGAATTTAATTGACGAAGAAATTAACGACAAAAATAAAGAAAACACAAATAATTCTGATTTTAATAAATTAACTAATAAATTGGCAACACCAGAATTTGTTGCTACAGGAAGCTTGGAAAAAGAAAAAAGTTTGTATTTTCTTTTAAAATTCTGGTTTTCTGATAAAAGAAAAATACAAAAAAATTCTGATTGTTTGGGGATGAAATTCTGATTTTTATTTAAAAACACAAATTCTGATTTTATTTTGTGTTTAAGATTTTTTGTTAAAATTAAAAATTCTGATTTTTATAACTACACAAACACAGTTATCAGAACAAAAATTCTGTTTTATTTTGTTTTATTTAAATTCTGATTTTTATTTAAAAATACAAATTCTGATTTTATTTTGTGTTTCAGAATTAGGCAAAACTTAAAACACGCATAATTTCTTTGTGTTTTATCTAACTAAAATTGTATTTTTTAATTTTAGCCAAAACACATCCATTTAAATTGCTCAAGTTGTGTATAAAAGCAATGATACCCAAACAAAAACTCGAGTCAAACAGCGGTGATCCTGTTAAGGAAAATACAAAGAAAGGAAGGAAAGAAGAGCATAGAATTGTTAAGGCGAATGACAGGGAATTTAATGCTCAATTTAAATATGCGGTAAATCAAATTTGAAAATTTTTAACAAAGAACTTGTAAATTTTGAAAAATAAAATCATTTATGGTCATTTAAGGTCACTGTATTTCATTACAGCATAAAATACCACTTTCAATTTTGGTTTTGTTTAAAACTCTTTGTAGGAGACTGAACCGCAGTCTCCAATTCCAAAAATTACCTAACTTAATATTCACCCCTTAGCTAAAGACAATAATAAATTTTATTATACTAAATAAATTGAATTTTAACATATTAAGTAGAGATGAAAACTTGAACTGTAAATTCAGAAGAACTTTTATTTTAAGACAGAATTTTACAAATTTGAGAAATAAGAAAATACTAAAAAAAGGACCAATTTAATTCTTGAAAATTTTTAAAATAAATCAAAATTAATTTTTTTCCAAATTTTTAAAGGACAATTTTATCAAAACATCCAAATATTCACTGCTCACTTTTGTCCCAGTCAATTTATTTCAACAATTTACCCGAATTGCTAATTTTTATTTTCTTGTTTTGCTATGTCTTCAATGCATTCCTCAAATAAGTTCTGTAAATTGGGTATATACTTTAGTGCCTCTTAGTTTTGTGCTCCTTTGTAGTGCCATTAAAGATGGTTACGATGATTTGGTAAATTTTTTTTTATTAAAAAAGTTACTACTTGCTCTTGGATTTAAAGTAGAGATAATCCGAAAATTTCTATACATACAGAAATATCCGGGGGTATTCTAGGGTTAGTATCCGTAATACATATTGACGATATACTTTAGAGGAGTACAGAAAAGCTAAACAAGGAGTGGGCCTCATCATAAGATACCCCATTAAGGCTGAAAATTCTACATATAATTGAGAGTTAAATATAGTAATTAAGGGGTATCGTTTAGTTGATAGATTAACACTTCCACTATATCACGTACTGTTGTCTGTTCAAGAACAGAAGAACCGAGGATCTTTCCTTTTGATTTTTCTGTTCCTTCCTTACATTTTTCAAGCCCAATAACCTTGATATCCATTGAAATATAAATAATCTTGAAGGGTTTGATAAGAAAATTTAATTTTTAGGCAAAAAGGAACGGTAAAAATTTTTAATTAATTTAAAGCAAAGGCATCGTAATGACCGTATAGTAAATCAAAGGGTAGCTTATGTTCTACGTTACAACACAAAAAGAGGAAAGATTGATATTTGTGAAGAAGAATGGATGCATGTAAAAGTTGGTGATATTGTCCGTATGGAGAGTGGGGATTTTATTGCAGCTGATCTTTTATTGGTAAATTGAAAAATTTTCTGAAATTTTTGAAAAAAAATTTTTTTTTCTTAGTTATCCACATCAGATTCAGGCATTTGTTATATCGAAACAGCCGAATTGGACGGCGAAACTAATTTAAAGACAAGAATGGCGTTGCCGTGTACAACTGAAATGGGGGACATAATTGATAAAATATATGAATTTGATGGTGAGAAATTCTTTAAAAAATTTTTTAAGGGAGAACAATTTTATAGACAATAGACTAGGTTTGATTAGCAATCACACCTTTGAGGAGGGATTAAAAATCTGCTTAAGGAAAAAGTTTAATTGAGTTTCGCGTGAGATTTCAAAGATTTTTTCGGGTCGACTTTCGGATAACCAGACTCACATCCCTAGAAGGCTAAGCTTGAGGGCGGGTCGACGCAGAAGACCCACAGACAGAAGACCCACAGACAGAAGACCCACAGACAAAAGACCCACAGACAATTTTTCTTATTTTTATCTACACTGCTTTCATATTGGCTCCTTACCTATGGTTTTTTTGAGGGTCCTTGCTCCTGCGAAGGATGTCAAGCATGCCCACTGCATCGATAACAAGAATAGGTCTATGTTACTAGTGCAGAACCCAGCGACCGTTGACTACCTGCGAGACGCGTGCCGCAAAACCTCGCGCGAAGCGCCAGTTTTTGCACAAGCGTCTCGCCGACGCCCCATAGGTTTATATTGTTTGATTTTCGTATCGTAACTTAGTCACGTCTTGTTATTCTAAGCTTTTAGTAGAAATTTTTCCTTGTGGATCTTTTGTCTGTGGGTCTTCTGTCTGTGGGTTTTCTGTCACTACGCCGCTTGAGGGTTAAGCTTTCTTCAAGTTGTAACAATAACAATTCAAACATACCGTTAAAGCACTGTTTGAAAATTTTTTGCAGGGGACTGAAGCGCAGTCCCCAATCCCAAAAATTCTAGCAAGGAGCACCTGCATAGGTCAGGTTAAGTGCAAAGATAAATCTTTATATGTATATTAAATAAATTGAATTTTTACATATTGTGTAGAGAAGAAGATTCAAATTGTAAATTAGTAAAAAAAGCTTAAGACCAACATTTTTAATCTGGAGTAAAATAATCTTTTTAATTAATTCCTTTTTGGCTTTGAAAATAAATTTACAAATAATAAAAATCAGAATTAAATCTAAACATTAACAAAATTAACCAGAACTTCAAATATTCTGATTTTGTTTTCCTATAATTAATTCTGGTTTTCTTCAAATTTAATTCTGATTTATTATGTGTTTTTGCAGTCCCACATGTTACTCTAGTTCAGAAAAACAAAAATCTCTATTAGGCATATTAATTTCTTTGCAATTTATTTAAAATATTTTTCTCATTAAAAAATTATTTTTCAAGGTTTAATAGTCTGTGAACCACCCAACAACCGATTAGACCAATTTAATGGCAGACTTGAATGGTTAGGACAAAAATACAATTTGGATAACAATAATATGTTGTTGCGTGGATGTTGTTTAAGAAATACTAGATTTTGTTATGGGGTTGTTGTATTTGCTGGTGCTGATACTAAATTAATGCAAAACAGTGGAGAATCGCCTTTAAAGAGGACTAGTTTGGATAAATTCTTGAATATCCTGATACTTGGGGTGAGTTTTAATTTTGAAAAAATCAGAATTAAAAATAAACGTGGAAACATGGGAAAATAAATATAGAACAAAAAATCAGAACAAAAAATCAGAACAAAATCTGAACAAAACAAAAATTAAATAAAAATCAGAATTAAATCTGAACAAATAAAAGTAAAAAATAAATCAGAACATTTAATTAAAACACTCAGAAATTGATCAGAACAACATTTAAACAAACCAGAATTAAATATTAAAATGAGAATATTTTAAAGAAAACACTCATAAATAGGATGTAGAAATCAGAATTAAATTCAAACATTACCAGAATTAACAACTACAAATATTCTGATTTTGTTTTCCTATTATAAATTCTGATTTTTAGCTATGGTGTTTTGTTCAGATTTTGTTCTGATTTATATATTTTTATTATTCTGAACATATTTAAAACAGAATAAAAACACAAAAATAATTCTGATTTTAATGTCTTTTAGATTGTTCTGTTTCTCTTTGTTTGCACTTTAATTTGTACTTTAATGACTGGATTTTGGGAACAAATTGTGGGCAGACATTTTCGTGTATTTCTGCCTTGGGATGAAATTGTTCCTCGAATAAAGAATTTAACGACAGTTCAATTACCTGTTGTACAAGGAGTTACTTCTTTTTCGGGAGATGATTCTGGTGCAGAGGAGAGGGCTATTGCCCCCTCTCAAGTTTTGTTTATTGTTGCTTTACAATTTTTCTCTTATATTATTTTGTTAAATACTGTTGTGCCTATATCTCTATATATCAGGTAAAATTTGAGAATCGAAATCAGAATTTTAAAAATCCGAATTAAAATCAGAATAAAATTTTTAGAATTAAAAATCAGAATAATATCAGAATTCACAAAATCAGAATTTTAAAAATCAGAATAAAATATTTTTAGTGTTGAAATGATTCGTCTAGCCCATTCAAAGTTTATTAACAGCGATTTAAAAATGTATGACCCAAAAACTGATACTCCAGCAAATGCTAGAACGAGTACTTTAAATGAAGAATTGGGACAAGTTCAATATGTTTTTAGCGATAAAACTGGAACTTTGACTCAGAACGTTATGGTAATGAAAAAAATTTTTTGTGTAGAGAGGGAGAGGTGGGGTGGATAGAAAAAAGATTTTAGGTGGAGGGAGGAAGAAATTTTCAAAAAAAATTTTCAAATTTTCCCCAAGGTTTTCAAAAAATGTTCAATAAATGGACGCAGCTACGGCGACTTTCGAAATGAAAGGGGGGATGTAATTGAAAATATTGATGAAAATACACTTCCAGGAATTGACTTTTCTTTCAACCGGTGGCACGAAAAGAATTTTAAATTTTATGACAAAACTTTGCTTATTGATACTGTGGACGGGTTGAAGGAGGTAAATGAGCGAGTGTTCTATCCTATCAACTAGGGGAATTATTTTAAATTTTTTTGACATCACTTTAGGAGAAATTGTGTCAATTAGGAAATCTCCTCTTCAAGACCACGTTTATTTGCCCCTAAATCCACCAATATCTTCCTACCCAATGTCTCTCATAATCTCCCAAATCCTTCGATATCTTTTTTTATTTTTCACTAAAATATACGTAGGGTAGCGGTAAATTTGAATGGTCCTTTCAATTATGGATTGCCCAGACACACATGATTTATTTGCCATTTCATTATAAAATCTTTTGCGGGTTAACTAGTACATTCACTAACAACAACCTTTAAACGATTAATTTTATCACTAATTATTAGGTACAAGAATTTTGGCGTTTACTGGCCATTTGTCACACTGTTATGCCTGAAGGAAAAGGAGACGTACTTGAATATCAAGCCCAAAGTCCGGATGAGGCAGCCCTCACATCTGCAGCTCGCAACTTTGGATTTGTCTTTAGAAGGAGAACACCACAAACTATAACGTTGGAAGTTAATGGACGGACAGAGGTATTTTAATCCTTTTATAAGCTCTTTTGTCGAAGTTTATTGCTCGAAAATGCTGCGTTGCGGGAAATCCACGGATATCTGGGCCAGCTTATCGGTAATTTGTTCATAAGACACCCCCCACTCCTATTTGAGTCTCAGATTAATTTTCCTTCTTTGCTGTCAATCATTTATTTTCCTCCTTTTTCAATGCCAATCATTTTCTTCCCATAAATATAGGACACCCAAAAGGGCGCGCGGCCCTAACGGCGCAAAACCATAACTTGCTTAAATCTTTTTGAACCTTACCAAAATTAATATTATACGATTCCTCTCATCGAGCTAGAGAGATTTATAACAAAAATGACAAGGGTCAAAAATATTTCAGCAAGTTATAGCTTTGTGCCATTATGGCCGCGCGCCCTTTTGGGTGTCCTATATTTAAGGGAAGAAAATGATTGGCATTAAAAATGAGGAAAGTAAATGATTGACAGCATAGAAGGAAAATTAATATAAGACTCAAATAGGAGTGGGGTGTCTTATGAACAAAGTACCAGCCTATCTTGGCCCAGAGGAGGTTGAAATGGGGGGGGGGGGGGGCTGCAAACATTAGTCACTGGTTCTGACTGAAGTTTGTACTGAAATTCTTCATCTTATGAGTAAAAACAAAGGTTCTACTTGAAATTATGGGAAACAAGGACAACAATTTTTTGGATTAGAAGAGAAATTGCATAATATATACGAATTCAATAATTGTTTTATTTAAATTTATTCTAATTTGCTACAAGTAGAATATTTGTACTCCAGTAGATGTTTATTTTTGGATGGAGGGTTAGGTGGCCACTCCAAATTTTATAACCTTATGGCGTTTCATGGACGTTTAACCGTCAAAGTATGAAGTCGAGACCGACCTTAGTGGTAGTTCGATAGTATCGTTATCGATAAATATCGTTTTCTTAACATTGATATATCGTATCGATCCGGACTCTAGTATGTAGTCTGCGTTAATTCGAATTTTTTGAAAGAAATTTGTAAATTCCTCTTTCAAAAATACATCTTTATGATGGGTTTATGATAATAAATACAAAATGTATAGGAAAAAGAAAAAATTAAATTTTGAATTATAAGAGAAATTTACTTAATATTAAAAATGTAATAATTATCTTGTCTAAGTTAGTGGAAATTTGTTTACATGTTTGAAAAAGTTGTAAGGCTTTTATTTTTGAATGGGGTTGTATAGGATTTTCCAGATGTTGTGACGGTGTTTGGTTTGAATTGGTAGCAAAAGTTTTAATGTGACTTAATCCTTATAAATGAGAGCTTTTGGTAACCTCACAACCATCCCCCACCACTGAATTTTCCTCCTCGCCTGCTTTACATCTAGATCATCCCTACCTTCTCCAATTTCAGACTTATGATGCCTTACACATTCTGGATTTTGACAATGTCCGAAAACGCATGTCTGTACTTGTTCGAACACCAAACAATCAAATTAGACTTTATTGCAAAGGAGCTGATACAATGATAATGGAAAGACTTAGCGAGAAAGATACAAGCCAATTATTACGTCAAGCAACACTTCAACATTTGGACAAATTTGCAACAGATGGTTTAAGAACACTTTGTGTGGCATATAAAATTGTTGATGGGGAATATTGTGAAAAATGGCTGGTTAGTTGAAAATTGTTCAAAAAAATTTTTTTGAATTATTTAATATTAATTTGCTTAATATATAAGAATGCAATAATTAGTTTACTTAAGTTTATTAGGATTTTTTGAATAGGGAGGTGTCGGCTAATTAAGTTTATATTTTTGGATGGTGAGTTAATAATTGCTCGCCAAATTCTTGAAACTTGTTATTTTTTGACTACATACATAGTAGTTGATATTCAAGAAAAAATTTTACAAAAAATTTTTGAAAAATTTAAAATTTTTTAATTTATAGCAGCGTTTGCATGAAGCTCTTATAGACTTGGAGAATAAAGATAAAAGAGTGGATGCTTTATACGAGGAAATGGAATGTGATATGATTTTGTTGGGTGCTACAGCTATCGAAGATAAATTACAGGATGGAGTGCCTCAAACAATTGCAGCGCTAGCTGATGCAAACATTAAATTATGGGTTTTGACTGGGGATAAAACGGTAATTGGGATTTTAACAATTTAACTCCCTTTCATACCCCAAAGTAGTGAGACCAGTTGATAGGCCGTTGATTTAAGTAAAGATGGATGTACTTGAGACAAGTTGTAAGACCCTTTCAGAATATCTTTGGGTATTGACACGATATGTATAAATTAGATAACTTCCAAAAAATCTAATTGTTATTGCCGACTGATAGTTATAAAACGATAGTTATAAATAGGGTTGTTCACGGTCGGTTAACCGAACCGGAACCGGAACCGTTAACCGGTGTTTTTGGCGAATTAACCGGAACCGAAAACCGGGGGTCGAAAACCGGCGATAACCGAAAACCGGTGACCAAAACCGCCCGGTTTCGGTTTTAAAAATACACTCCTAATGACAGGAATATTTGAGGATTTTTTTCTGACATTTGAATTCCTAAAATATATCGCAAAATATTTTTACTTTTTTTCTTGATAAATTAAATAAATTCCAGTTTTACTATAAGAGATGTGTGGTTAAGTGGTTAAGGTGTTCTTCAATTTTACTTGAAGACCCAGAAGGGTTAGTTAAAGTACTAATCGCAATATGACGAAAAGTCATATTCTTTATTCCTTAAAAGCAGAAATGGGTCAGAATTCCGATTTCCTACGTTTTTTCCTTCATATTTCCAAAATTTTGGAAAAATTTTCGATTTCAGTCAATTTTTAAGGCATATTTCCGACTAATAATTTTTTCAAAATTTTTAAAATTTTTGCCTGCGGCGCTGAAAAAGTAAGATTTCTGGCTTAAGGATCTTCCAAAATTCTCAGAATTTTCGCCTGCGGCGCTGAAAAAGGAAGAAATAGGTCTTCTTGGTTCATTAAAATCCCAAAACTTTCGCCTGCGGCGCAGTAAAAGAAAATTGAATGGTATAGCAGAGGATTAGGATGGATTAAGGTGGATTTGGAGTTATATAGTGTGAATTCAATGGGTAATATTTAATATCGAGGGTCCTTGATAACCAGCGCCCTTGATAACTTACATCTTCCTACACCCCGATCATTGATATGCATTAATCCACCGATCATCGATATCCCTTAATCCCTCTACTTTCCTAATATACAAAAACAGCCATTTATCTCGCCATATACCCTTTAATTCCTCGAATTGTTGAAATTTGTAAATTAATCAACTCCTAGTATATATGTAGAATATTTACTTAAAAGCGTTAGAATGTGACAAAATCTCAATGGGATATTTTGGATGAAAATTTGTCCAAAAACCGGTCCCGGTTAACCAAAAACCGGGGGTAAATCAAAAACCGGAACCGAAAACCGGGGGTACCGGTTAATAACCGGTAGTGAACAACCCTAGTTATAAACACTAGAGTTCGAACTTTTCAAAATGCCGGGCCCGGGACCCGGTTTTTTTTACTCAAAATCGCACCCGGACCGGTTTTTCCGGATAAAACCGGAAAAACCGGTTAGCCCGGAAAAACCGGATTTTTTCAGACCCGGGCCCGGACCCGGTTTTTTCTAAATTTATTAAAAACATAAAAAAATTATCATACATACAAAGGATCGGAAAACATACAAAGGATCGATTAAAGGATAGATGAATCAAAGGATAGAAACGCTTAAGGATAGATAGCAGGAGTGTCCGCAAGTGAAAAAAATTTTCCGCAGCCGCAATCCGCAATTTTATTTTTAAAATCCGCAGCCGCTATCGGTAGTAGAGTTCGAACGAGTGATATAGAAGATTATGAAGCAACTCGCAATTTTTATTTTAAAACACGCAGACGCAATCCGCAGTACGCAAGTCAAAAAAACACACATATACGCAATCCGCAATTTTTGAAATAATTGGTAGTCTGGGAAAATGAGGGGATTTGAAGTATTTAGGAAGCTTCCATGTGATATCAGATTTCGAGTGATATAGAAGATTATGAATTTGAAGGGATTCATAGAGAACTCATGAGATTTGTAAGAATATTAAGGGATATCAGAAAATTAAGCTCTCGATATACTTCTTAATCCCATTAATTTTTCTTCCCTTTTTAAAAATTTTGAGAATTTTGGAAGGAGGGGCTAGATTTCTTCCTTTTCTACCGCCGGAGGTGAAAATTTTGAGAATTTTGGAAGGTAGGCCCCCAGATTTCTTCCTTTTTACCGCCGGAGGTGAAAATTTTGAGAATTTTGGAAGGTAGGCCCCCAGATTTCTTCCTTTTTTACCGCCGGAGGCGAAAATTTTGAAAAATTGGATGGCCAAACAGCTATATTTCTTACATTTTTTGACTTCATCAAAAAGACTCCGGGCCCGGCAAAAAATTACCGGGCCCGGGACCCGGTTTTTTTACACAAAATCGCACCCGGGCCGGTTTTTCCGGTTAAAACCGGAAAAACCGGTTAGCCCGGAAAAACCGGATTTTCTCAAAAATACCCGGTTCCGGGCCACCGGGCCCGGAAAAAACCGGTCCGGGCCCGGCCCGGGTTCGAACTCTAATAAACACTAACTTTATTCTACATATATCCTAAATATAAAATTTACTTAATATATGTAAATCCAATAATTAAATTTACATAGGTTTATTTTTTTAGTTAGAATTAAAACGGTGGTGCGGAAAAATATTGTGTTTTTTGGATGGTGAGGCAATCATGACTCGCCAAATTTCCTGAAAATTCGTTGAGACTACCATATTGGATATTCTTTTCAGAATATGGACCTTATACATTATTACATTATTATTTTATTATAGGCATTAGATCCGGAATTTTGTATCGTATCGATTGTAATACCGTGAAGTACCGATAACTTCAAAATTTTACACTACAACCCGGGCTATTAGAGACTAGATAAGCTTCATAAATCGCCAATTAGGTTTCTATATACTAAAAACACGTACTTAAAGTATATAGACGGCCTTCATAATATTCATAAAAGCAAGTTAATTTAAAGGAAACAGCCATCAATATAGCCTTTTCTTGTGGATTATTAACCGAATATATGCGTGAAGTGTCCATTATCGACGGCAAGGATGAAAAGGAAGTGGAAGTTCAATTGAAAGATACTATAAGGCGTATGCAAAATGCTAAAGTGCCACAAGTGGGTTTTTTTTTAATTTTATGTTTTCCTACTTTCAAGTGTGTTGTGGACATTTATAGCTTCATAGATGTAGTTGAGCCTCATTATAGGATCCTCCTATATTCCTCTGATATCTCTCTAATCTGCCAGATACCCTCTATTCTCCCCATAATACTTCTTACATTCTATTTATGGTTGGGGGCCCGACCAGTCCGATAGATTGAGTTCAGCCTCGAATTTGGGCCCGAAAAAAACCGGGGGTCGAAAACCGGCGATAACCGAAAACCGGTGACCAAAACCGCCCGGTTTCGGTTTTAAAAATACACTCCTAATGACAGGAATATTTGAGGATTTTTTTCTGACATTTGAATTCCTAAAATATATCGCAAAATATTTTTACTTTTTTTCTTGATAAATTAAATAAATTCCAGTTTTACTATAAGAGATGTGTGGTTAAGTGGTTAAGGTGTTCTTCAATTTTACTTGAAGACCCAGAAGGGTTAGTTAAAGTACTAATCGCAATATGACGAAAAGTCATATTCTTTATTCCTTAAAAGCAGAAATGGGTCAGAATTCCGATTTCCTACGTTTTTTCCTTCATATTTCCAAAATTTTGGAAAAATTTTCGATTTCAGTCAATTTTTAAGGCATATTTCCGACTAATAATTTTTTCAAAATTTTTAAAATTTTTGCCTGCGGCGCTGAAAAAGTAAGATTTCTGGCTTAAGGATCTTCCAAAATTCTCAGAATTTTCGCCTGCGGCGCTGAAAAAGGAAGAAATAGGTCTTCTTGGTTCATTAAAATCCCAAAACTTTCGCCTGCGGCGCAGTAAAAGAAAATTGAATGGTATAGCAGAGGATTAGGATGGATTAAGGTGGATTTGGAGTTATATAGTGTGAATTCAATGGGTAATATTTAATATCGAGGGTCCTTGATAACCAGCGCCCTTGATAACTTACATCTTCCTACACCCCGATCATTGATATGCATTAATCCACCGATCATCGATATCCCTTAATCCCTCTACTTTCCTAATATACAAAAACAGCCATTTATCTCGCCATATACCCTTTAATTCCTCGAATTGTTGAAATTTGTAAATTAATCAACTCCTAGTATATATGTAGAATATTTACTTAAAAGCGTTAGAATGTGACAAAATCTCAATGGGATATTTTGGATGAAAATTTGTCCAAAAACCGGTCCCGGTTAACCAAAAACCGGGGGTAAATCAAAAACCGGAACCGAAAACCGGGGGTACCGGTTAATAACCGGTAGTGAACAACCCTAGTTATAAACACTAGAGTTCGAACTTTTCAAAATGCCGGGCCCGGGACCCGGTTTTTTTTACTCAAAATCGCACCCGGACCGGTTTTTCCGGATAAAACCGGAAAAACCGGTTAGCCCGGAAAAACCGGATTTTTTCAGACCCGGGCCCGGACCCGGTTTTTTCTAAATTTATTAAAAACATAAAAAAATTATCATACATACAAAGGATCGGAAAACATACAAAGGATCGATTAAAGGATAGATGAATCAAAGGATAGAAACGCTTAAGGATAGATAGCAGGAGTGTCCGCAAGTGAAAAAAATTTTCCGCAGCCGCAATCCGCAATTTTATTTTTAAAATCCGCAGCCGCTATCGGTAGTAGAGTTCGAACGAGTGATATAGAAGATTATGAAGCAACTCGCAATTTTTATTTTAAAACACGCAGACGCAATCCGCAGTACGCAAGTCAAAAAAACACACATATACGCAATCCGCAATTTTTGAAATAATTGGTAGTCTGGGAAAATGAGGGGATTTGAAGTATTTAGGAAGCTTCCATGTGATATCAGATTTCGAGTGATATAGAAGATTATGAATTTGAAGGGATTCATAGAGAACTCATGAGATTTGTAAGAATATTAAGGGATATCAGAAAATTAAGCTCTCGATATACTTCTTAATCCCATTAATTTTTCTTCCCTTTTTAAAAATTTTGAGAATTTTGGAAGGAGGGGCTAGATTTCTTCCTTTTCTACCGCCGGAGGTGAAAATTTTGAGAATTTTGGAAGGTAGGCCCCCAGATTTCTTCCTTTTTACCGCCGGAGGTGAAAATTTTGAGAATTTTGGAAGGTAGGCCCCCAGATTTCTTCCTTTTTTACCGCCGGAGGCGAAAATTTTGAAAAATTGGATGGCCAAACAGCTATATTTCTTACATTTTTTGACTTCATCAAAAAGACTCCGGGCCCGGCAAAAAATTACCGGGCCCGGGACCCGGTTTTTTTACACAAAATCGCACCCGGGCCGGTTTTTCCGGTTAAAACCGGAAAAACCGGTTAGCCCGGAAAAACCGGATTTTCTCAAAAATACCCGGTTCCGGGCCACCGGGCCCGGAAAAAACCGGTCCGGGCCCGGCCCGGGTTCGAACTCTAATAAACACTAACTTTATTCTACATATATCCTAAATATAAAATTTACTTAATATATGTAAATCCAATAATTAAATTTACATAGGTTTATTTTTTTAGTTAGAATTAAAACGGTGGTGCGGAAAAATATTGTGTTTTTTGGATGGTGAGGCAATCATGACTCGCCAAATTTCCTGAAAATTCGTTGAGACTACCATATTGGATATTCTTTTCAGAATATGGACCTTATACATTATTACATTATTATTTTATTATAGGCATTAGATCCGGAATTTTGTATCGTATCGATTGTAATACCGTGAAGTACCGATAACTTCAAAATTTTACACTACAACCCGGGCTATTAGAGACTAGATAAGCTTCATAAATCGCCAATTAGGTTTCTATATACTAAAAACACGTACTTAAAGTATATAGACGGCCTTCATAATATTCATAAAAGCAAGTTAATTTAAAGGAAACAGCCATCAATATAGCCTTTTCTTGTGGATTATTAACCGAATATATGCGTGAAGTGTCCATTATCGACGGCAAGGATGAAAAGGAAGTGGAAGTTCAATTGAAAGATACTATAAGGCGTATGCAAAATGCTAAAGTGCCACAAGTGGGTTTTTTTTTAATTTTATGTTTTCCTACTTTCAAGTGTGTTGTGGACATTTATAGCTTCATAGATGTAGTTGAGCCTCATTATAGGATCCTCCTATATTCCTCTGATATCTCTCTAATCTGCCAGATACCCTCTATTCTCCCCATAATACTTCTTACATTCTATTTATGGTTGGGGGCCCGACCAGTCCGATAGATTGAGTTCAGCCTCGAATTTGGGCCCGAAAAAAACCGGGGGTCGAAAACCGGCGATAACCGAAAACCGGTGACCAAAACCGCCCGGTTTCGGTTTTAAAAATACACTCCTAATGACAGGAATATTTGAGGATTTTTTTCTGACATTTGAATTCCTAAAATATATCGCAAAATATTTTTACTTTTTTTCTTGATAAATTAAATAAATTCCAGTTTTACTATAAGAGATGTGTGGTTAAGTGGTTAAGGTGTTCTTCAATTTTACTTGAAGACCCAGAAGGGTTAGTTAAAGTACTAATCGCAATATGACGAAAAGTCATATTCTTTATTCCTTAAAAGCAGAAATGGGTCAGAATTCCGATTTCCTACGTTTTTTCCTTCATATTTCCAAAATTTTGGAAAAATTTTCGATTTCAGTCAATTTTTAAGGCATATTTCCGACTAATAATTTTTTCAAAATTTTTAAAATTTTTGCCTGCGGCGCTGAAAAAGTAAGATTTCTGGCTTAAGGATCTTCCAAAATTCTCAGAATTTTCGCCTGCGGCGCTGAAAAAGGAAGAAATAGGTCTTCTTGGTTCATTAAAATCCCAAAACTTTCGCCTGCGGCGCAGTAAAAGAAAATTGAATGGTATAGCAGAGGATTAGGATGGATTAAGGTGGATTTGGAGTTATATAGTGTGAATTCAATGGGTAATATTTAATATCGAGGGTCCTTGATAACCAGCGCCCTTGATAACTTACATCTTCCTACACCCCGATCATTGATATGCATTAATCCACCGATCATCGATATCCCTTAATCCCTCTACTTTCCTAATATACAAAAACAGCCATTTATCTCGCCATATACCCTTTAATTCCTCGAATTGTTGAAATTTGTAAATTAATCAACTCCTAGTATATATGTAGAATATTTACTTAAAAGCGTTAGAATGTGACAAAATCTCAATGGGATATTTTGGATGAAAATTTGTCCAAAAACCGGTCCCGGTTAACCAAAAACCGGGGGTAAATCAAAAACCGGAACCGAAAACCGGGGGTACCGGTTAATAACCGGTAGTGAACAACCCTAGTTATAAACACTAGAGTTCGAACTTTTCAAAATGCCGGGCCCGGGACCCGGTTTTTTTTACTCAAAATCGCACCCGGACCGGTTTTTCCGGATAAAACCGGAAAAACCGGTTAGCCCGGAAAAACCGGATTTTTTCAGACCCGGGCCCGGACCCGGTTTTTTCTAAATTTATTAAAAACATAAAAAAATTATCATACATACAAAGGATCGGAAAACATACAAAGGATCGATTAAAGGATAGATGAATCAAAGGATAGAAACGCTTAAGGATAGATAGCAGGAGTGTCCGCAAGTGAAAAAAATTTTCCGCAGCCGCAATCCGCAATTTTATTTTTAAAATCCGCAGCCGCTATCGGTAGTAGAGTTCGAACGAGTGATATAGAAGATTATGAAGCAACTCGCAATTTTTATTTTAAAACACGCAGACGCAATCCGCAGTACGCAAGTCAAAAAAACACACATATACGCAATCCGCAATTTTTGAAATAATTGGTAGTCTGGGAAAATGAGGGGATTTGAAGTATTTAGGAAGCTTCCATGTGATATCAGATTTCGAGTGATATAGAAGATTATGAATTTGAAGGGATTCATAGAGAACTCATGAGATTTGTAAGAATATTAAGGGATATCAGAAAATTAAGCTCTCGATATACTTCTTAATCCCATTAATTTTTCTTCCCTTTTTAAAAATTTTGAGAATTTTGGAAGGAGGGGCTAGATTTCTTCCTTTTCTACCGCCGGAGGTGAAAATTTTGAGAATTTTGGAAGGTAGGCCCCCAGATTTCTTCCTTTTTACCGCCGGAGGTGAAAATTTTGAGAATTTTGGAAGGTAGGCCCCCAGATTTCTTCCTTTTTTACCGCCGGAGGCGAAAATTTTGAAAAATTGGATGGCCAAACAGCTATATTTCTTACATTTTTTGACTTCATCAAAAAGACTCCGGGCCCGGCAAAAAATTACCGGGCCCGGGACCCGGTTTTTTTACACAAAATCGCACCCGGGCCGGTTTTTCCGGTTAAAACCGGAAAAACCGGTTAGCCCGGAAAAACCGGATTTTCTCAAAAATACCCGGTTCCGGGCCACCGGGCCCGGAAAAAACCGGTCCGGGCCCGGCCCGGGTTCGAACTCTAATAAACACTAACTTTATTCTACATATATCCTAAATATAAAATTTACTTAATATATGTAAATCCAATAATTAAATTTACATAGGTTTATTTTTTTAGTTAGAATTAAAACGGTGGTGCGGAAAAATATTGTGTTTTTTGGATGGTGAGGCAATCATGACTCGCCAAATTTCCTGAAAATTCGTTGAGACTACCATATTGGATATTCTTTTCAGAATATGGACCTTATACATTATTACATTATTATTTTATTATAGGCATTAGATCCGGAATTTTGTATCGTATCGATTGTAATACCGTGAAGTACCGATAACTTCAAAATTTTACACTACAACCCGGGCTATTAGAGACTAGATAAGCTTCATAAATCGCCAATTAGGTTTCTATATACTAAAAACACGTACTTAAAGTATATAGACGGCCTTCATAATATTCATAAAAGCAAGTTAATTTAAAGGAAACAGCCATCAATATAGCCTTTTCTTGTGGATTATTAACCGAATATATGCGTGAAGTGTCCATTATCGACGGCAAGGATGAAAAGGAAGTGGAAGTTCAATTGAAAGATACTATAAGGCGTATGCAAAATGCTAAAGTGCCACAAGTGGGTTTTTTTTTAATTTTATGTTTTCCTACTTTCAAGTGTGTTGTGGACATTTATAGCTTCATAGATGTAGTTGAGCCTCATTATAGGATCCTCCTATATTCCTCTGATATCTCTCTAATCTGCCAGATACCCTCTATTCTCCCCATAATACTTCTTACATTCTATTTATGGTTGGGGGCCCGACCAGTCCGATAGATTGAGTTCAGCCTCGAATTTGGGCCCGAAAAAGACTCGATCCCGGCCCGATAAAAATGAGGCTCGAAAATAAAGACTTAAACTCAGCCCGATTCGAAAACCCCAACCCTAATTCCATTGATATCTCCTTATATCTCTATAATTCCTCAAATATCACTTATGTAGGTGTCCCTCTGGTATTTTCCAAAAATACTCCCAATTTAAGCTAGAGTTGTACCCCGACCCCGAACCCCGACCCCGTTCCCGAACGATTTTTTCACGATTCTCCCCGACCCGAACCCCGCCCCGAAACATTTCGAAAACCACGTACCCCGACCATAAAAGTTTCGGGGTTATCGGGGTTTTATACACCCAAAAAATGCCATTTTTGTGAGAATTTTAAGAGAAAAATTTTAAAAATTTCCTCACAATTTACTTTGCCTTTATTATTTTTGAAAGAAAAATGAATGAAATATCAAAATTTTCTTTCATTTTTAATTAAGAGACTTGTGGTTGAGTGGCTTAGTTGTTGGTTTTAGCCTATATTTCCATTAATATAGGATTGGGTTCGGATCCATATAAGGAGAACTCTTTTGTTTTTATATTTCTTTACAAAAACAAATTATTAACGAGTTAAATTTTAATTTTAAAATATTAATTTTATTTTTAACTGATATCCCTTGAACGACCCTTAATCCTTCAAACCCCTTGTATCACCAGTAAGGGGTTCCCAACCAGACCTGGGCGAAACTCAAAATTTTTTTCTGACGAAACGAAACGAAACAAAATTTTTTAAAAATCGTTTCGTTAACGAAACGAAACGAAACAACCTAAATCTTACGAAACGAAACGAAACAAAACGAAACATTTTAATATTCAAAAAATTTTCAAAACTGCATTTATTTCGCAATTATTCGACCTCAAATACTTTATTAGTCGCCTATGACTTATAAATGATTTAGTTATTGGTTTATTTACAACAATTGTGTCCCATAAGCCAGGCCCCATAAGCCAGGCCCGTCTCCATATCTCCATTTCGAGAGGAAGGCGATATAAGCTAGTGCTTCGCCGGAAGTTCCGGTTCCAGTATTTCCGCAACTCGCAATCCGCAATTTTTAAATTATGATGCGAGTCCGGTAATAGAATTTGTCGTCGATTAAGTAATATGTATATGTGAATTAGGGAGTGGAGTATAAACGGATTTGTAGTATATAAGTAATTGATATCTTCCTTTTTCAGCGCCGCAGGCGAAAATTTTGACAATTTGGGAAAGCAAGAAGCCGAAATTCTTTTTTTTCAGCGCCGCAGGCGAAAATTTTTTAAATTTTCAATAAAAGATGGTAAATTTTATAGATTTTGGCCTTAGTTTAGGCTTAAAAAATTGTTTCGTTTCGTTGAAAAATCACAGGTGTTTCGTAACGAAACGAAACGAAACAAATTTAAAAGTGTTTCGTAACGAAACGAGACGAAACAGTAAAAATCATACGAAACATACGAAACAACGAAACGAAACGAAACGTTTCGCCCACGTCTGTTCCCAACCATAACAGTTGGAAAACTATCGAGGTCCTGTTAACGGGAATCAGAGATATAAAGGAATTTGTAGTATATCGAAGAATTAAGGAGTTATAAAGGGATTTAAAGGGATATAAGGTTTAGATTAAAATGGATTTGAAAGAATTACGTGAATTTAACGGAATTAACAAGGATTTCGTGGGAGATTTAAGGATTAATCCAAGATATCTCCTGATATCCGTCCAAATACCCTTATCCGCAATACTTCAATATTCTTATTAATCACTGATATCCCTTGAAACAACAAAAATCACTCCAGATCACCTTGCACCCATAGATATACCATTTAATCCCTAAAAATCCCGCTTAATCCCTCCATATCCACTTATATCTCAAGTTATACACTTTAATCCCTTCAAATCCCCTCTAATTTCTCCAAATCCTACTTAATTTTTGAATAAATTAGCGAAAATATACCGAGATCTGATTATTTTTGAGCATTTTTTTCTCTAAAAATTTTTTCCCTAAAACCCCGTACCCCGACCCGAACCCCGGTCATATTTTGCTCCCCCGACCCGAACCCCGCCCCGAAACAATTGGAAAACCCCGTACCCCGACATACCCGCCCCCGAACGTTCGGGGTACAACCCTAATTTAAGCTACCTATACCTCATCCTATGAGGTACGCATATTTCAGCCCCAAGTGTGTTTCTTATAGTGAGGTCTCATTGTATTTTAAAAAAGTTTTTTTTAGAAAATTCAATCAATTTAACATTTTTAAAGATCATTTTTACTTACATTTTTGAAATTTTGAATTTTTTCCCTTTTTTAAAAAATTTTTACCCAAAAATTCAAAAAAAAATATTTTTTACCCTTTCCATAAACATTCCTGTCGTAGGAAAATTTAGCAATTGACAACATTTTACAACAACATAAAACAAACAACATTACCAACATTTTACTCTTCCAACTTGGTTTTTGTAGCTAATGAGAACGGTCATTTAAATGTTGGGAAACTTAAAGAAAAAGAAACATTGTTGTCTAAACAAACAGAGAAAAAGAATAAGCAGAAAAATAGAGGAAACGACGATCCGGAAAAACATTCCGGAAAAACATGCGAGAGTGTTGTAGAGACTGTGGGAGAAGAAGAGAACAAATGTTCGGATGAATGTTTTGACAATGTTCAGAATTATATTGCCCAACAAATTGCCTTGTTGGAACAATGCGAAGTTGCGGAGCTTATAGAACAAGAAAAACAAGTTTTAGAAGAAAATGAGAGAAGGAAGAGAAAATTAAAACAAATGAGAAACAGTAGAAAATCGCAACAAGTAGACAATGTTTTTGATGAACTAGAGAAAGAACATTGTTCTAAACTTTTTCTTAAAAAGTTTGCTTTTGATGAAGAAATAAGGCAGTTTAAGTGGATTACTGAAGAAGAGGAAGAAGGGGCCGATGTAAAAGAGGAGGGGAAGACTATAATATTTTTGGATGGAGGAGATAATGAAGAGATAATATTAAAGGATAACAATGTTGATGTGGAGGTGTTGTGTAAAATTTATATAGTTAAAAGCAAAATCTCTGTCTTAACACCCGTCAGGGAATTGTAAAATAATAGATACAAGTTTTCTCTACACACGGATACCTCCTCCTTGGGATCATTTAGATACACTGAATTTATATTTACCACTGACGGCTTACGTTATTTGTTAGGCTGAGAGAAAACTTCGTTGGCCTTACACTTGATCTTTCTGTTCGATTTGGATTTGACAACATCTTTGATTTTGACAATTTAGGTAAACGAGTGCTTGTCTTGTTTAACACTAAACAATCAAATTCGGCTTTACTTCAAAGGGGCTGATACTTCTGGCCATGGCCTGATTTGAAATGAACGCAGCCTAACCCTGATATCAGACATCGGGCTTTTTTATCACATTTCCACAAATATTACTGCCAGTAGTTTATTTATAAACCCCCTCTAAAGAGCAGTATAATAAAGGGGGTGCATTTATGATAACTCCACTTTGGGTCCCTACGATATCTTGCTTGTTCATATTCGAATATGATAACCTTGGTTGGGTATTTTAAGACAGAGGTTTTGCAATAATATGCTTGTTTAACTATGTATCAACGTCTAACCATCACTCACCTTGAAATAAAAAAATTTCTACTAACAAAAGCTTTCATCATCTAACCATCAAGCTTCAACTCTAACCCTCAACCCGCTTTTTCTAATTAATTTTTTAATTTAATTGTGTTGTGCTTTACACCTTACTTTTGCTTTACTAAAAAATTATTTTTTCTTAATTTTTCTTTAAAAATTTAATTTAAGACAGTTGTTGGTGTCAGCAGCTTCTATTTACCTCCAAGAACTCCAATTAGAGAACTTTCCCCATCTCCAACAGAATTACCACAAAATCCAAAAGATGCTTCTTCTAGACCTCTCTCCCCAATAATTACTTCCCCGACGACCGATAGACAACAAAGTCGTCGACCTACGGAGATGACAACCGTATTCCCTGCTAGTTTGAGGCATGAAGAAGGATTGGGAATTAATGGTTTGTTTGGATGGGGTTTTTAAGGATTAGTCTATTATATTGACCCTTTTGATTGATAGACAGACATCAGGGATCCTGATATATTCCTAATTTTGAAAACATATTAGGAAGTCCCTCGCAAGCCTAGTCCCTAGCAAACATGCTAAACATAATAATGAACCTATCATTCAAGCCTTTCTTAACTTAGGGAAATTGAAGAATAACTTGAAAATTTTAGAAAATTTAGTCGATAGATTCACAATTGGGAAAATTATGTAAATAGTGGATTTGGAACTTTTAGCTCCAATTATACCTTTGAAGAGAGACCTTTCCAAGATTAGATAAGGTATGTAATGAAGACGAGAGCTCCAGCTTTCTAGCATTTAGAAGTTAACTGCCAAAGGGGCACAGCATCGATGCCTGCCCGTAGCTAAACTCTTACTTCTTTCTTACAATTCTAAAGAATTAAATTTAATCTCCCTTTACTTAAGGAACTAGCAACGTTTTGACTGCAAGATCTGAACATCCAGGCAATAATTTAACGCCAACTCTTGCTGGGCCCACCAGTGATGATTTAAAAGAAGGAAGTGGAGGGTATGCTCTTGTAATTAATGGGGAATCATTGGTGCATGCATTAAAGACACAACATGAAAAAATATTTTTGGAAATTGCGAGGAACTGCACGGTGTGTGGAAAAAATTTATTAAAAATTAAGCAAAAAATTTTTTTAAGTCAGTCATTTGTTGTCGTGTAACACCCCTTCAAAAAGCCAAAGTTGTCGAGTTGGTAAAGCGAAATATTAAAGCTGTTACTTTGGCAATTGGTGACGGTGCTAATGATGTTAGTATGATTAGAACTGCACATATTGGTGTTGGGATTTCTGGTAAAATTTTTAAATCTTTATGGGAAAATAATATGTAGCGCCTGACAATAATAATTTTCTTAATTAATATAGGTATTCTGTTCAAATTCTCTTAAGTAATCCTTAAATTCTTCTCTCTATACATATAAAGCTTATCACTACCATTGTTATAATAAAAAATTCTGCGAGATTTAATCTCAATTAGTCAAGCCATAAAAGCTTGACTTGCAAAAATAATCTCAGAAAACAAAGGAGGATTTTATTTGCAAGGAATTAAATCCACATTTATCAAAATCAATTGAATTAATTAATATTATGCACATGTCACTTGACAAATATAAAAAAATTAAGCCAGGCCTTCGAACTCCTATTATGTATGGGTTAGCGAAAGCAAACTTAAATAGCATGCTAAAATCACAAATAGTCGAGAATTAAAGCTCGACTTGCAAAAATACTTGATTTATAAAAATACTTGAATTACTTGAATTTAAATCTACTTTTATTTAAAATTAATTGAATTAATTAATATTTCGTTAATGACTCTCAAGGAGGCTTTCTCTCCATAGCATGGAGGGCACTCTCAAGGGATGCTCTTATTTAGACAGCCCATATTAGACAAGTTATAACAGGATTGATAATTTTACATTATAGGCCATGAAGGAATGCAAGCCGTTCTCTCATCAGATTTTTCAATTGGACAATTTCGATATCTAGAAAGGTTGCTTCTCGTGCATGGAAGACAGTCATATCTTCGAATGTGCAAATTTCTTCGATATTTTTTCTACAAGAATTTTGCTTATACACTTACTAATTTTTGGTATTCTTTCTTTTCCGGATATTCTGCTCAGGTATTTTCCAAGGAAAAATTTTCAAAAAAAAATTTTTTCCTTCCCTTCAGACTGTCTATGATCCTGTGCTCATTTCCCTCTATAATCTTCTCTTTACGGCTATGCCTGTTTTGGCTATGGGTATTCTAGATCAAGACGTAAATGATGAATACAGCCTTAGATTTCCACGTCTTTACATTCCTGGCCAATTCAACCTATTTTTTAATATGCGAATATTTATTTATTCTGTGATACATGGAATGATAAGGTATTCGTTATATTTAAATTAATGCTTCCTAGTTATGTTTCGAAGCAAAAATAACAAGAAATAAATCAGAATGTCAACAAAACATTAATTGTTTCAGTTTTTGAAAGACATGTTTTTAAAAACATTAAACATGTTGATATTAACCTGATATAAGTTAAGCAATCTTAAGTTTACAAACAAGCTTAATTTTACGAACTTAAGTTTGTCTTGTTTGTTAACTTAACTGTTGTAAACTTAAGATTGTTAAACTTGAAAATTCATTAACTTAAGACTTTTAAATTAAACTTTTTAAGCTTAATCTTGCAAGGTTAAAAACTTGCAACTTTGTTTGCAAACTTTAAGCTAGATTGCAGTTAGATTTATTGCATTCAAAACTTGAAACCTTAAAAATTATATACCTAACCTAGCCAAGTCTATGAACTTAAGTTTATTTTTAGTTCACTTGTCCTTTTCTTCGTCCCATATGGAACCCTTTACAACGCTGTCAGTTTTACTGGACGTGATATGAATGACTACTCAATTTTGGCTTTTACATCCTTCACAGCTTTAGTTTTGGTAGTTAATGGGCAAATTGCTTTTGATACTTCTTATTGGACTTGGATTAATTGGTTTGTTGTTCTCGGTTCTGTGGCTGTTTATTTTGGTGTTGTTGTTACAATATATCAGGGTAAGTATTTGACTTTCAGTCGAACTTAGTTATCTGGATTTGCTAATGTTAGTCTCCAAATCGTATAAGAGAGCATTTTTGGGGACGAGGATTCCCTGTATGGAATCGAGGTCAGGGACCAACTATAATATTTACACATTGTATTAGGTACATAAATGTCCGATAACTCGGCAAGAGAGAGTTGATTTCTTAATTAATTTATCCCTCGTTATACGGTAGGAATTTTTTCTGCCCCAAACGTATCAAAAAGGGAGTTCTGCCTGTATTTAAATTCTAAAAATCAAAAAATCTTTTACTTTAGTTCTCCCAACACGCTGGCTTTATGGTTATGTTAGCTTTATCAATGTGGATGTTTTTGCTAGAGCTGTCGCCTTTCCAGGATTTTGGCTTTCTTTAGGTAAATAATTTTTTTTAATATTTCCATGATTAATGATAATTTTTAAAGCTTTAATTTGTGCAATTTTGCTTCTACCAACACTTGGAAACAGATTTTTCTGGTTTGACGCCCACCCCTCCTATGCTGACAGGCTTAGAGTAAGGCATCGTTTATATGGAGAGGAAAAAACTGCAAAGCCTTCAACACCTGCAGCACCTCAACATGCTTTACCCCCTAGAGGGAGAACTTCTAGATGGAGTTCTAAACAACGGGATTTACGTTCTGGCTATGCTTTTTCGCATTGTGCCGGTTTTGGGGAATTAATAGCAAAGGGAACACTTTTCAAAAATTTGGAGAATCTACGCATTCCGTCATTGTAAGTTAAATAATTTATTGGAGATGAATCGGGAAGCATTTAAAGTTACATAGTGTACATATCCGAGAAGCATTTAAGTTTCTTAGCATCCCAGAATTCTAAGTGTAGTCTAAGTCAGAATTGTCTCGGAGTCCATTTCTGACTGGTTTCCCTGCCCACTTCAAGATATAACCTTGTAACCGTTAAGTGTTTTGGATCATGTAGAAGCTTTCCTAACATCCTTTGGATCAACATAACCTTTACTTTATCGTCTTTAAATTATCCTTCCTCTTACTCTCAAAAATACTTTTTTTTAGTCAACATAAACAACAAATCCATCCAACAGAAACTAGCAGCAATACAAGTGGGAATAATGATAGTAGTAACAAATCTACTCGCCGTTTTACTGTTTTTAATGGAGGTGGAGGACATTTGCTAGATTCTTTCCGTAATGCTATTCATCATCCAAAACCAGAAAATGGGAATAATGGTGATTTTTTTATTATTTAATAATCACTTATCTAATGATTAATCTTTATCTACCTATCTGACTTAAAGTATAGCACGAGATCGAGGTTTTTTTTGAAAAAAAACCGAGGCCGGGGATCGCCGAGGCTGGAAGGTCGAGGGGCAAATTTTGGCCGGAGTTCGAGGATTTCCAAGGTTTTTAAAAACCTCTATAACCTTTCAAAGTGCAATTAAATAAACTAATTTTTTATCAAAAATTCACTAAATTATCATCAAAATTATCTGTTAAATCTGATTAAGTAGATGTCACACGCATCAGTTTAGTTGTCTGATACGGAGAGGTCTTGGGCATAAAGAAACCCCATGTCTTTTAAATTAGCGCCGCAGGCGAAAATTTTTAAATTCTGAAAGGATAAGAAGCCAGAATTCTCCCAAAAATTACTATAAATACCCAGCTTTTTTAGCTTCATGCGCCGAAGGCAAAAATTTTCAGAACAAATTCACATGTGGGGAGAACAATTTACCTAATAGATTGATAGTTCCTAGTTCCTTATAGTTACGCAGGCGAAAATTTCGAGAATTTTGAAAGGAAAAGCCAAATTTCTTCATTTTTTGGCGACGCAGGAATAAAATATTATAGAAAAGATAATGCAATTTTTCAAAAAAAACGAAAATCAACCGAAAAAACTGAGTTTATCGAACTCGAAATTTTATGAAAAAATTTGAAAATCGAAAAATAGCAACGTCGCAAATCGAATTTTTGGCGCCGCTCTTGTGGAATTTTTCCATCCGAAGAAAATTTTGAAGGGATAACCCTACATTCAAAAATAAAATGATCCTTACATGATTGAAGTCGCCATTGGTAATTTGAATAAATTCTAATAGACTTATGTAATTTTAATTATTGCATTTGTATATTTATATTAAGCAAATTTACATATAGGAGATGAAAAGAGTTAATGTTGTATCAATATCGTTTCAAGTCCGCCCGATATAATCCTTGTCAAATCCAAAGATATTCTAAAGTGGATCCTTCAACTCTCGTTTAAGTGAAACTTGTCTTCAAGTAAACTGAACCTAACTAGTCTATCAAACCGTTATCTTTAGTAGGAGGGTTATAACAGGCCTTTATCACTCCTACCTAAAAGGTAGAAGTGATAAAGGCGACGAGGGTCTCTCCCATCCTAGCAAATATAGTAGAAATGGCGGGATGGTTGACTCCTCCAAGTCTTTCACAATTTGCCTGTTGAACCACAGTGACATAAGCACTAAAAATTTGGAGGCCACTCTGACACTCCATACAAAAATAGATTATGCTTCGTACATAATTAACTGAATTCTTAAAATTAAAACAGATTTAGATAAAACAATTATTTAATTCTTATATATTATGCACTTCTCTTACCCACAAATGATTTTATTATGATATGGCTAAGACCTAGGTGCCGAGACCCGAGGCCAGTCAATTCGGTCCGAGATTGCAAAATTGGCAAGGCCTCGTCGACTTCGTGCAACCCTACTTAAAATTTCATCCATCTACCTTTTAAAATTTATTTCAAAAATTGGTCACAATGACTGACTATTGGAATAAATAAATTTTAATATTAATTATTAACAATTTTATTTATTAATTTTTAAAGGTAAAGAATCGTCTTTAAATGTTTCTGAAATCCCTGAAGAAACAACCAACACTACCAATAACAACTCCATTGCCGTAACAAAATTTTCTCCAAGCCTTCCATCAAATATAAGCACAACAACTACTTTGTTGGCAGAAATGGATGGAGGATTATTAAACAGTTTTAGAACAAATACTTCAACAATTTCTGGTTCTGGAAATAGTCAAATAACTTCAAGTTCTATTTCAAACCCTTCTGAAAATATTATAGGGCCTATGATTACACAAATTCCGGTAATTTACTTTAAAAAATAGTTAAAGTACTTGGTCATATTTTACCTTTAAACTAAATTAAAAATGATAGTTTGGTTTTTTTAGAACAAATTTTGGATTATTAGAGTTAATTAGAGGTCCCCAAAGGCGATCGTAGGATATTGGTTAACTACTTGGTCAGGCTCTTAGCCGATCGAACACTAAGCCTTTGAACTAAAGTTAACTAAGACAGCAACTAAGCTGTTTCCAGTGCTTCGAAATTTCAAATTTGCTCGTACTCGTACTCGTACTTCGTACCACCTCTTTTTTTGGCCTCGTACTCGTACTCGTACCTCGTACCACCCCTATTTTTTTGCTCGTACTCGTACCTCGTACCACCCTTATTTTTGGCCTCGTACCTCGTACTTACTCGTACTTGAGAATAAATCAAAAAATCTAAAATCTTTATGATTTTTTTGAGTTCAGGACTTCTAGTTTTAAATTTTAAGCGTTTGTGCGATAATTTTTGAATCTTGGAAGGCTTTGAAGCCACAAATCCTCCAATATAATTCATTTTCTGCGCCGCAGGCACAATTTTTGAGCATTTTGAAGTGCAAGGAGCAATATTTCCTCAAATATGGGTCGGTTTCAAAGATGGATCGGGTATATTTTCATCCGTTTTTCATTCTCTTCCATGGAACGTTATACATTTTTTACACAGTTTTATCTCCGGATATCCCTCTTAATCTCTATTCCCTTTCTGCGCCGCAGGCAAAAATTTTGAGAATTTTGAGGTCCTTAAGCCAGATTTCTTCCATTTTTCAGCGCCGCAGGCGAAAATTTTGAAAATTTCGGAAGGCCGTAGGCGAAAAAAAATCACTTTTTAGTGTTCAAAGTAAAATATTTTAAGAATTTTAGAGGGTCAAAATCTCATAATTACTCCATGTAAAAATAGAATAATTTTTAAAATGAAATTAAAATTATTAAGTTATTTATGAAAAAAAATATTAAAATTCTTTTTTAGCGAATAGGAATCGAACCCAATATTAAATCATTAGAGACTTTGGTGCAGCCACGCACCTTCACCACTCGGCCACCCGCTCATATAATGGAGAATGAAAGGAATTAAATATATTTCTTTAATTTTCTTATTAACACCAAGTACGAGAAGTACGAGCTCGTACTTAGGCCTCGTACCTCGTACTTTTCACTTTTTTTGGCCTCGTACTCGTACTCGTACTTCGTACCAGGTACGAGTACGAGTACGAGGTACGAGTACGAATTTTGGTACGAGCTTCGAAGCACTGGCTGTTTCTTCCTATTTTCCTGGGTGTTTTAGGCTTTCTCTCTGAATGTAATTTTTGCTAGTTTCTAGCAAAAATCCGCGTCGGTCTTCAAAAATTTTTTTTCGATCGAGTTTTGGGTCCCTGCTAGTTTCAGGTCAATTTCCTAATTTCAGGTTACTTCATCAAATAATACAGAGCAAACAGAAAGAAATCACCATCAAATGCTACAAGCAAATAGCTCTTCTGTACTTGTACCTATGCGCGTGCCAAGCCCAGATAGGGTTAATACAACACATTCTTTGGTTGTAAATGCTGATATGGATGATGAGAAGCCTTTGCCTAGCGATTGGTTCATAAAACATTTTTTTAACTTTTTAAAAATTTATAAGAGTCTGAAAGCTTTAAAGCAGACTGGGACAAGATCTCGTTCAAGAATTTGGATTATCGAGATTTTTGAAAATATTGCCTTCGAATCTCAATCTATCCTAAAACCATGGCGCCTGTCCAGATTACGCGTCCAATGGAAAGTTCAAATTTTATTCGTTATCACATTTTTAAGTACCCAGTTCTTCATTTTGATCAAAAGACAGTATCGTGCGGGTGTAACATAACTTTGAGTGAGAAGATCTCTCTATTCCCTTCGATTTTATGGTACTAAAATAAAGAGACGGGTACTTAAAAAATGTGATTGGACGCGTAATTTGGGAAGAACCAGAACCTTTTCCTCTCCTCACCTCTATTTTATATCATTTTAGGTGTCACAATCCAGATGGCACTCTATACATACCTGATAGACAAATAACAGAACAAATCCCATCAAAACAACACCCAACAGAAATACCCGTTCAAATCGCCGGAGGAAAGAATAACAACAAATTTGTCAGTAAAAAGGGGAAAAAGACAAGTTTTGGAGAAAATGATGGAAACAGCAAAAGTTCCTCTGTAAGGAAATTTTTTGTAAAATTTTTTGACTCGAGACCTAAAGTTCACTAAAAGTCCAAAATCAAAAAACCCCAAGAAAATAGTCCAGTCAAGACCAGGACTGCACGCAATTGAAAAAAGATTCCGCAACTCGCAATCCGCAGCTCGCTATTGCAAGCTTAAATATAAAATTATTAAATTACTTAATATGTAAAAATACAATTATTGTTTTATTTATAAAATTTTTTGAAATTATTTCTTCGTGTTGTCTTGGTTGAGGATGATGTTATTTTTGGATAGAGAGTTAGTTAGTTAACTTTCTAAGGAATTTTAGAGCACTAACATGTTTGCAAAAGTTCCTCTGCAAGGAACTCTCCTCATAGGAGAGTGAAGAAACATATTTTAAAAACCGGGAGGCGCGAAACTTTAATGAGTGAAAGTTTTTAGAGATAAGTTGAATCAAAGCTTCGGTTAAATACATAAGTCAAAGCTTTGATTAAATATTCCAAATCTTTCGATATCTTCTTAACCGCTAAATTATGGATATCAGAGGATTTAGACGAATTAAGGAGGATATCAATAAGTTCGGAAGATCCTTAAGCCAAAAATTTTACTTTTCTGCGCCGCAAGCAAAAATTTTGAGAATTTTGGACACTCAGCTCGGCCCAAAGTTTTTTCAGCTGACTAATTTGTTTTCGATCGACTAGACTCGCACAGCTCTTTCGAATGACATATAAGCACTTTCGAATGACCCCTTGTTTTCGGTTAAACGAAACCAGTTTTAATCAAATTTTCATCCAGTTTTCCCAGTCATGTTTAAAATGTAAAAATATCCTTTATTCAATGCTGAAAATGAATTTCGAACAAGAGTCGACCATTTTGTGATATTTATTTGTGAAGTGTAATTTTTACTCAATATGCAATATAACAATTATAATTTTATTTAAGTTTAAAGAATTTCATAGCAAAGAGAAATTTTTTGAAAATCGCAATTATATTTTTGGATAGTGAGCTAGACTGGCTCACTAATACAGATTTCACGAAAGAAAAAATCCCAAATAGTATCAGAATACTAGATTTCGCTAAAAATATTGTTTTTAATTTTTTATGGACAAAAAAAGCAATTTAACCCATGTTAGGCGCTAGAAATTCAATTCTTTGTACTAGAGATCGGAATCTTGAAAAAATCGCGTCCGGGAACAGGTGTTCTGAATGTTGACCTGGAGCGTGTTCTGAAGGTTGACCCCCCTTCCTCTAATCAAATCCCCTGATATGATACACCACATTTCATGATACACTCTTAATCCCACCAGATCCCTAAATATCAGATCACAGACATACCTGTATAACTTGCTACAATGAAATCCCCCAATATCACTCCAGATCCCCATTAATCCATCTTACTACCAAAAAAACTCCATATCCCCAGATATCCTATGATCATGATCAAAGAATTTCATCCGTTTTCAGCGCCGAAGGCGAAAATTTGAGATGTGGAAAATCAAGAAACCAGATTTTTTCCATTTATTGTGAGGGTATTTTCGAAAAATTGCGTGAAAATTGCGTGAAAATCATGGAAATCCGCAACCCCCAATTGCAAAACCCCGCAATTTACGCAATCCGCAATTGCGTGCAGCCCTGGTCAAGACAAGAGTTCTAGACCAAGGATGGGCCGTAATGCATTAAAAAATAGGAAAACGGAAAAAAGCAGAATTCTGCGGACAGTGGAAGAAAGCCATCTCTGCCCTAAAGCAACGTGTAATGCGCCGGACAATTAATTTTGTTCAGTGAATTTTGTTATATCCCTAGCCTGGATCAACCAGATAAACAAATAAATTAAAAAATTTAAGGAAGGTAATATAAGAAAACCAATAGCCATTGAAATAGAGAAGCAACGACAACAACAAAGATTATTTACTGGAAAACACAGAAACCACAACAATCAAAATCACCAACAAAAAGAAAATGAAAGCAACAAAACAACTTGGAATAACGAAAGATGGAAATTATAAATTAAATTTTTTATTAAAATTTTTTTCACCCAAATGCTTTATTAAAAATTAAATTAAATACTTGTATTTATTAAATAAATTATTATATATTATGTATTTTTATTCTGATTTTTGTATTTTATTCTTTTATTTTGTGTTTTGTTGTTTTTAATAATTCTGATTGTTTATTTTTATATTGTGATAAAAATTCTGATTTATTTTTTTGTTTTTATTCTGATTTTTATAATTTTTAGCCTTTCCGATTTTCTTTAAAATTCTGATTTTTTTAAAAACCAGAATTTTGTAATTATAAGGATTGATATTTGTCAGAAATCTTGCCGTCCCAATTCTAGAACAAACTTGGATAAATAATAATCAAAATTGGACATCAGCGGTTTTAAAACCGGAATTTATGATATATTTCTGGGCGTAAAATAAAATCTATTTAATATATAAAAACATATTTATCTTCTTAACTAAACATATATTAATACATCCTGTAAGCCACCCTTCTCTGCATGGTACGGAAATATTTTTGAATAGGGAGTCTTAACTCCCTAAATTTTAGAAGAAATATCCTTGTACTAAAGTTTCATAATTAAGAGTTAATACTTGGATCGCTTAATTCGTTTACCATATTTTCTCTAATTGAGCGTCCCTCTGCATTAAATGTGATTTATTATCTTTAATTTCTCTCTTTTTACGTTAGTAACTGTTTAACAACTTAATTTTAAGAAAATGAGTGATTCCTACATTGATGTTGTGAATATTAGTAATTCTGAAGAAAACCCATGTCTACGCATAACAATAAATTTCGCCGTTCATACACAATAGCTCAGACTTCAAGCGGTTTCTTTGGCGTTTTGCGTTTTATTTAATGAATAAAATCTTTTTCTAACATTTTCTTCTGCCAAATATATTGTGTATGGAAAATAGAGCGGCCGCCTCCATTTAAACAGCCGTCTCTACCACTCTATTAGAGAAAATACGGTATATGAGAAAATCAGAATTTTTTATTTCTAAAAATTCTGATGTATAAATTTACTCTTCAAAGGCAAGAATTTATTCAAAATATAATAGAAATCAAAAACGAACGAAAAAAGTGAGTGGCCATAAACAAGGACAATACAAAAATACCATGAAAAAAATAAGTGAACAAAAATTATTGTAAATTACAAAAAAATTGTCTAAACAAATCTACTTTAAAAAAGAATGTGATCAGCAGTGTTTGGGACATTTGTATTAACAAAAATCAGAATTTTATGAAAATCGGAATTTTTTTTGATAATTCTGAAAAACTCAGAATTTTTGCTAAAGAAAAATCAGAATTTATTCCAAGAAAACAGAATTTCTTAAAAAATCAGAATTTTGCTTATTAAAAATCAGAATTCCAAAAAATCAGAATTTTTCTCATAAGAAATCATAATTCTGAAAAATCAGAATTTCTCTAAAAATCAGAATTATAAAAATAAATAAATTCTGAAATTTTGCCCAAACACTGATTAAATAAAGGAAAAAATTGAATAAATGCTTAATTCTTTAAAAATGTATTTTTTTATATTAATCAAAATGAGGTCAAAAAATATTTATAAAAATTCAAAAAAATTAAGTGAAAGTCCATTAAATACAAATCAAGGCAAGAAAAGACATTGTTTATAGCCGGGTATGTTTTACGGCAAGAATGGATTTAATAAAAATACATAAAAATTGCAGCCTGAGTATTTAAATAAATAAAAGTATAAATTGTAGTGTAGGGATGACTCTGATTTTGAACTGAGAAATAAATTAAGAAAATCAGAATTTTATAAAAAGAATATTTTAGAGATTCTGATTTTTGTGTTTCTTATTTATGTGTTTTTAAAAAAAACCAGAATTTTGCAAAAATACAAAAATCAGAACTTTCGTCGTAATAAAATACAAAAAATCAGAATTTTCAAAAACACAGAATCAGAATTCTAGGAAAAGAATATTTCAGAAATTCTGATTTTTGTATTTCTTATTTACATGTTTTTTTAAAAAATCAGAATTTTAAAATAAAAAAGTCAGAATTTTTAAAATACTTTCAAAAAAAATCAGAATTTACGTTATAATAAAACACAAAAATCAGAATTATCAAAAATACAAAAATCAGAATTTTCGAAAATACAAAAAATCAGAATAAAAACACAAAAATCAGAATTTTCAAAACAAAAATCAGAAATTAAATTCAGTCATACCTACATTAAGTATAAAAACATTGGAAAATCAGGCGACACGCTTATTTATATAAAATACATTAACTCGGAATTCAATAAAATACATAAAGCATACATAAATAGAACAAAAATTTTTCAGTTAACGTGATAAATGATAACGTTTAAAAAATATATACTAACAGAGCCAACTCCCATATATAATGAAACCTCGTCTATAATAGACTCCTCCTCATGTCAGTCAAGAAAATTTTTTCTGAAAATTTTGAGAAATTTCTTTTAAAAAATTTTTTTCGTTTCCATTATTTACAAGAGTTGACCACTTAGTAAAAAAATCCATTCATTAATTTTAAAAAATTCAAAAATAATTATTTTAACCAACACACTCCTCCCTCCCTTTATTTATTCCTTATTCCCTCCATTCACTTCCTCTTCATTCCCTTTAAAATCAGAATTTTGTTTCTCGTTCCTTTCAATTTCAAAAACATCATCAGTCTGTGTTTGAACACTCACAAACACTCTTTTTTGCTTCTTCTTTTTCTCAGCTTTTTTGGTTGTTATAGTACTACTATATTCACTCATTTCTTCACTCTCTTTTTTAAGTTCAGCAGGTAAAGAAGCTGCAGCCTTGCTGGAAAGCCTAGAAATTTTTTTGAGAATTTTTTTAGAATTTTTAAAAAGTATTGAAAAAAAATTCTTGGTGCTTTGGTATTATCTCCCCATCTGTCCGCAAATTTTTGTCGTTACCTTCTTTCCTCATTCCATAAAAATTAAAATGGTCAAGGATTAAAAATAGTGAAAGTAAATATTAGCCAATTTTAAACTCTTAACAATTTAAAAATTTCAAATTATTTGATGTTAAGTTTGCGGACATGTGGGGAGATAATACCGTAGTATAAAATTTTTCGAAAATTTCAAAAAAAAATTTTTAGAAATTTTTTTTTAATTTTAAAATTTTTTGGAAATTTTTTTAATTTTTCAAAATTTAGACAAATTCTAAAAAAAAATTCTCCTCACTTATAAACAATATCATCCACATGAGCCCCCTTTCTTTTAATTGTATTGCTTAGAAAAGGAGTAGATTGAATTGAAGAAAAGCCCCCCAAATCACTGCTTGATTGGACTGAAGCTGTCCCTCCATTTATTTTCCCTCTTTTTGCCTTTTTTGGAGGGATTGAAAGAAATTGGTTTAGTCGATCTTGAAGGTTTTGTTGCTGGTTATTTTGTTGTGTTTGTTGTTGAGATTTTTGAAGTATAGCTACTAATAGAGCTGTAGATAATGATTGTTGTTGTTCGTTTGGAGTAGAATTAACTAAATTGTTTTTGGAAATATATTTTCAGAAAATTTTTTGAATGATCAGAGGTAGATCGGAAATGACGAAGGTGCCGGAAATCGGAACTGACGGAAATCGGAAATGGCTCAAATTTTTGGAAACCGGAAGAAGAAAACGTCGGAAAACAGAATTCCTACCGACCTACGGTCATGAGGAAAGAAAAACAATGACATATGTAAGTAGTTGACCTAACTATGATTGAAATTAAGAAAATTAAGAAACCGGACTGGGAGTGTCATACAAAATCGAGATCGATATCTCGAAATATCTTTTTTGTTTCTGATCTCGTTTCAGACCGACCTATAGTTGAGATAACCCGTTTATGTCCGAAATAGTAAAGAGAGTCGATAGGTAATAGACTTGAAGATTTTAAAATAGAGATCTCAGATCTTTCACAGAAATCTACAACTAAAAACTAAAAGAAGCCACGTTTCTACCCCGAATAAACTTCAAAAATTTATTTTAAAATAAAAATTCACCTATCCCTCCAACATGATTAAATGCCGAAGACTCTCCTCCATCAGAAGGAGAAGAGAAAGACGAAAACGAACTCGTATCAACATTAATAGAGCTACTATTACAACAATCAGAAGACGTGCACAAACTACTCCCTATTCCACTACTATTGTTGCTTTTAATAGAAGAAGAAATGTTTGGAGAATATGGGGAAGAAGAAACATTTGTTGTCGAAACATTTGTTTGAACAACATTTGTTGGGGAAACATGTTGTTGTTGTTGTGTTGTAATTAAATTGTCAACAGAATGTTGTTTTGGAAACAAAACAAAGTTTTGTTGTTGTTGTTGTTGTAAATTATTAAATGTTTGTTGTTGTTGTTGAGAAAATTCTGATGTTTGGATAAAACCAGAATTAAAACCAGAATTTCCCCCATTTTCTTCTCCCCCCTCGTTTAAATTTAAGTGAGGATTATTAGCTCTGAGAACCCCAGATTCTCGCAATAATTGTTCACGGACAGAGTCGTCGGCTACTAAAAAAAATTTTTTTTTGAAAATTTTAAAAATTTTGAAAATTTCTTTTACTATTTTTAAGAGCTTTAAGATATTTTGCATGTTCATATATTTTGTGTTCTGCAACATGACAACTTTTCAGGTGTCGAATCATTCCGGTTGTGCTGAAAAATAAATATTTTAATTAGAATTCGAGGGTTTTAATTAGTGACGAGAAAGGGGGATCATACGAGAATCGTACAAGACATTTCAAAAAATCTCAATCTCGATAACCAGTAATTTGTTCGAGATCTCGTCTCGATCGCGCTTTTTAACACTGAGTTTACTGGTTTTTGGAGCCAGAATATGCTCAGGTTTTAAACTAGAGGACCCATAAAAATTCCATTTGAGTGCTCAAAAGATTGGTTTTTTGACTAGATTATTACACACGGTTACCACACCCAAATTTCGACTCGATTTTCTAAAAAAGACAAGAATATTCCAAAAATTAAGCGACCCTTTTATTTTTTTAGAAAAATAATTAATTTGCCTGCTATTTGTAGCTTTAATAGTTTTCTGACAAATAGAGCAAGTAGCAGCCTTTTCTCCATTTGGTCTTTCCGAAAAGAACCGCCAAACTTCAGCTGTTTTAGCAGAAGAACCTCCAACACGTGGACGGCGTTGAATAGGTCTTTGGGTTGTTTTGACATTTTCAATTTGTTGTTCTGATTGTTGGGTTTTTTCAATGTTTTCATTCTGATAAAGAAAAAGAATGTTTTTGTAAACAAGTTTTTGAGTTTTAAAAGGGAAGTTTTAATGTTTTTAGGATGTTTTTTTGATGTTTTAGAATGTTTCTAGGATGTTTTTAAGACATTAATTAATGTTGATTGTAAAACAAACTTAAGGGTGTTTTTAAGTTTGTAAAACATCGAAAAAAACATCGATGTATTTGATGTTTTATGAAAAATGTTTCAAGTTTCAAAGAGTTCTGAAGCTTGTCATTAAGGTCGTCGGCTCATCCTTAAACCTCTCTCCTATTCCCACACTTTAAAATTGAAATAAATTTTTTTTTCAAAACCACACCTCTTCCTGCCCCTCCTCAACATCTTCTTCCTCCATAACAATAGAAAGATCAACCAAAAATTTTTCTTCATCCTCCCCCTTTACTCCATATAAATTTTGATGTTCTGGGTGTTGTAAATGCCTTTCTGGACTGTCCGTACCCGTTGAACTATTTTCTTCTTTGATTTGAGGGTAACCAACAATATTGTTTGGATTTCCAATTGCTAAATATATAATTTCTTATTTAGTTTTCATTTAATGTTTAGAGCAAATTTCCTATTTGTGTATCCGTTAATAAAACATTAATGATCGCTTTCGAATTGAAGTTTAGTTAATGGAAAGGTCGACTTTTTGATCTACGACTTTTGAGCTACGACTTTTTGAAGTCGTTTACACGTTAAACGATATCTTCACCTAGAATGATTGGCATTTTCAATAGTATCCTCGAATTGAGTATCTATTCATTAAATAAAGAACAGAAATGAGGATCAATCAAGGTTACGAGATACTTAGGAATTATTTAAAATTCTGAATTTTAAACATAAAAAAAATTTAAATTCACATTGTTGTCTAAGCAAAAGTCCAGAATTATTTATTTGATTATTGGAAGCAGCTGCTACAGCATTTCTTATTAATTGCTGAACTGCTGTTGCAAAATTGAAAGCTGGTGGTAGGCGAAATTCGGGAGGTGGAGAGAGATTCTAAGTCAATTGAAAAAAATTAGTTTAAGTCTAAATTTTGTTTAAGGGAGATTTTAAAGGGGAAAATTGTGAATTTGTGGCATAAGCTTGATTACTTCAAATTCCCGCAACAATCCAATAGCAAGGGATGTGCGCCAAAAAAACTCCAAAATCCGAAAAAAAAACAAAATAACGTTGTGCGCCAAAAACGCAACGCCAAAACGTCATGGCGCACATCCCTGCTTCTAGGTAAAGAAAACTTAGGAAAAACTTAACTTAATAAACTTGAAGCTTACAAACTTAAAAACACAATGAGCTTAACTTAAGTTTGTAATCTTAAGTTTTAAAAACTTAAGTTTTAAAGAAACTTAAATTCCCATAAAAATATTTAATCAGAAAAAAGACAATTTTACAACAACCGATAACTGCATATTAGCAACAATAGCAGCCAAAGACGGATTTGAAGCTGCCTGGTTTCTAGCCGCCAAATTAGCCAATAAATATTGCAATTGTGGAGGGGGATAAGTAATTTGTTGTCCAATATTGCTATTTTCATTTAACAAATTTTGTTGGGTGGAAGAGGAGGAAGAAGAACTTCCAGGGTCAGATAAGGGTGTAATTGAAGAATTATTTTGTTGATTGGCAGTTTGCATTTGGTGAAAGCAAAAAATATTTAAATAAATTTTTTGAAATGGTCGGATAGACCTATCTAAATAAAGAAAAAATTTTATTAAGATTTTTAACAGAATCCAAGCTTTAAAAAAATTCGAGTTGTAATTTACTATTTAGGTGGAGTGTGTCTTGGGACTAACAGAATAATACAAGGAATAAAATAAAAAATTTTAGCAGTAAATGCAAAAATATCCAGAGCTGCTTCGAAAGTTTGATTTTCGACTCTCGGAGATTTTTTGGAACAGCTCTAAGTCAAAATTGTAAATTGATCTTCTCAAACTTCAATAAAAGTTTGAGAAGATATTTTGCTACTGGGAAACAAAACTTCAAAAAATACATGTTTGTAATCTTGACTTTAAATAAAACCTGAATTAATAATAAACTTGAATTTTCAAGCTTGAACTTAATAAACTTAAACATAAATAAACTTAAACTTAAATAAACTTGAAATTAAATAAACTTGAATTTTCAAGATTACAAACTTGGAAAAACAAGAAAAAACTAAGCAAATTAAAACAGCATAAAAATCAAAGATTATTATTTTAACTAGATTTAAAAACAAATTTTCACTTTTAGATTAAAAACAGACGCAACAATAAAGCAGATAAGCGCGCAATAAATATTTATTTATACAAGTAGTGGTTTTTATTTAAAAATGGGAAAGAGTAGAATCGGGAAAACTAAAAAAATATGAAAAAGCGACTGGAGAAGCAGACAGAAAATCGTGTTCAATAATTTGCCAATGGAAAGGGAATGGACGAGAGAATAGTTAAATATGTAGAAAATTAATTTGCTCAGGAAAAAAAGAGTGGGGCAAAAGGACCCTCCTACAATATTTAATGTCAATATTCATCCTCTTGATTAAAATCAGAATTTTGAAAAAAAAATTTTAGTCACGAGAAAATTGTACATATAAAAATAGAATTTAAATAAGTGTATGTTGACCAAATGAAAATAATTGACAAGTTGACCATTTTGAGAATAATAAACTTGGAATAAAAATAAACTTAGAAACTTGGACAAACTTAAGGGAAATAAACCTAAATTAAAAATAAACTTGCAAACTTAAAAACGCACACTTGAAAAACAAATAAAAACAAACTTAATTTAAGTTTGTAATCTCAAGTTTTAATAAACATATAAAAATAAACTTGCTCAACAAAACAAAGCTAAACAACAATAAACATTCTCTCTCTCCATATTGTTGAAAACGGAAGCTATTTAATATATTAAATTATATTCTTTTTGATATAAGAAAAGCAACTGATCATGTTTAAATATGGGGCGCATCTCCGAAAAGAACGAACGCTTTTGCTTTGCTTTAGCTCATCCGAACGGGCGAATTATGCAATGAATTTGGGGGGAAAAATAAAAGAAGAAAAGAGGACTACTAACTCTCCAAAAAAGAGAGATGTTCGCGCCTGTCTTGTCTTCAAAAAGCTTTTTCTTGTTTTTATAAAAAATAAGAGCAATATAAGCAAAAATACGAGCATCAAGCCAAAAATGTGTGCCCAGAGAGCCTTATCTCATATTAAAAACAAGAAAATTTGGGGCGTGATCGCGCGATGATTTCGCTGCGCATTCACATGCAGCAAAGTCAGGCCGAAGGCGATAAAAATGTTGTTGAAGAAGCTCTTATGTAACATTAAAAACAAGAGGTGAGTGGAGTAGATATCTCAATATTTAGACAATAATTGAAGGAGAAATAATTTAAAAAAACTTGTTAAAGAGACCAAAAATCTTGATAAAATGAAGAAACAATTTATTTTTTACTTGGATATATGTAAAAATAAAAATTTACATCTTAAAATATCGTGTATGGGTACCGAACATGATTATATTTAACGATACATATCAAAAAAGATATCAAAAGCTGGACAAAACAAAATTTCAGAATAAAAAAGAAGCAATTATCAGGGATATCATGACGCGAGAAAAAAGTCGGTCGGGTTTTCATACCGGATTTCGGTTTAAAAAAGTCCGGGTTCCGTTTTAGGTCTTCATGGTAACTCGCTTTTTTCTTGTTTTTGCAACAAAAATATGTTGCAAAAGAAGAAAATAGCGCGCATGGGTCGAACAAGGTGTTAAACCCTAAGGTGTACAACCTTAGTCCCTAAAGGTGAATTAAAAGGAAGCATTCAAAATTCAGAAATCAGTTACATTTTAAGTTGGTTTTTCTTAAAAGATATGAAAAAAAGTTTAGAAGCAAATAGCTAAAAAAAGAGAATTTCAAAAGATTGTGTTAAAAAACGTGTTTTTAATGCAAACCTTTCGGGACAGTTTTGCTTTGTAAGCTAAAAGAGAGCTATGTATATTTAACAAATAAAAAAGCGCACACCGGTGGGACTAAAACTGCTGAGCGATTTTTGGCTAAAATACAGAATGAATGGATGGATGCGCTTAAAGGCTTTTTTTTCTTGTTTTTTTTCTTTTCTTTCTAATCTTTCCCGTGCAGCATTTTGGAAGGGACACAAGCATTAAAGATGATTTGAAGGAGTGAATTGGTAGGAGGGAGGGGGAGGGGGGGTCGAACGAGGTGTTGTTATGTTCACCAAAAGATCTGGTTTTTCCACAAAACTCTTCTCTATCCTCCCCAAAAAATCGTTCCCTTAACAAATTGAAAATTGGAAGACGGGAGAATAAATAAATTTTTTGTTGATCGGCCATGGGATTGGGTGGGGGAAAAAGCTATAGAGGAGCTATAGAGGATCCTTCTGGCGATGAAGACGCTTATACGTGTGTGTGGTGTATTTACGTGAATATAGGGGGGGGGGAGAAGAGGGGAAGATGAGAAGGAAGAAGAAGGGGGGGGGGGAAGAAGGGAAAAAATTTTGGGAAGGATTAGCTGAAGCTGTAGAAATGAGAGAGAAAAATGGGCCGCTGGGCCGAAAAGCCTTCTTTTAATGGGCTGCCCTTCATTCCATGCAAAACGCGCAAGAGGAACGCGTTTTTCATCCCAAAAGATGAAAATTGAGGCCCTAAAGGTGAATGAATGTCCTATGCGCGAAAACATGCATGAGAAGGAAATGGTGCATTTACGGGAGGATGAAAGTGTGTCATTGGGACTTTTTAAATTAATTGATGGGAATAAAGCAGGAAATTTGAAAAATCTGGAATTTTTTGGAATAATTGGAAGATTTAATTAGTTAAGAAAAGAATTCTTTATTTTATTTGTTAATGTGAGTATTGGGGGAAGAAAAAAGGCAGAGTGAATTTACGAACCTAGATAATTGGAATTATAGTTGGGGTTTCGAGTTAAGCCGACGTTCGAGTCACTTTTTCTGGCTTATTTTTATCAGGCCGGCCCGACCGAGTCTTTTTCAGGCCAAAATTCGATGCCCGACTCGATCTTTCGGACCGGACCGGGCCCCCAGCCTTAATTGGGATATAGGGTTTTGCTGGAAAATAAATGAGAAATATTGGTACCAAAATTCGTACTCGTACCTGTGTACCTTTGACGAAGTACATGTACTATTACAAGCAAATTTAAAAATTCCAACCAGATTTTAAGCTAAGGAGTTTCACTTAGAGGCATGGATAAATGAACGAAGATATTATATCCAAAAAAAGAACGTGGGATAATATAAATATTCTAGTATAATTATTAGAGGTTGAAAAAATTTTTTTTTAATTAAATTGGTGTCAATAACAAGGAACGAATTCAAAAAAAGAAATGAAAGGTTTAAAAAATCTAGTTTAAAGCAGGTTCTGCCGTTTTATTTAAAAAATAATGACAGTCTTTATTTGCAAAATTGAGGGGAAAAAGCGACAAATCCGCATTTTTCAAAGCTTCTTAACTCATTTGGATTGAAAAAAAGAAAGGAAAAATGAGGGAAGAAGCTTTAAAAAATTCTCAAAAAAGGTACACGCGGCAGTTAAAGTCAAGTACATGCCTAAAATCGAGTTTTGCATCCCGCCGCGCAATGAAGAAGCGAGACACTTGAGTAGCTTATTTTCTTAGGGATACTTGGGGAGACTTGGGGATACTTGGGTAAAGGCTCTGAAAGGCTTAGAAAGGAAGAGAAGGAGGATGATCACAATTAGAGTCCTTTTAATTTTGGAGATACTTTAGTAAGCCTTAGAAAAGAGGAGAAGGGAAGAGAAGGGAGGGATGATCACAATCCAGGGGATACTTGGGTAGAGGCTTAGAAAGGAAGAAGGGAACAGAAGGAAAGGAGGATGATCACACACTAGTAGTCAAATATCTTTAAAAGATCTTCTTAGCTTTTACTCTTAAAGCCTTCCAATCCTTAAAGACGGACAAAGCACCAAATTTAGCTAAGCTAGCAAGTATTCTCTCCTATATATAATTACCACGCAAGGCGAGAAGAACGTAAAAAAAGGAGAAGAGGCCAATTTATACCCTAAAGAGAGTTAGCGAGTTTCAAAAATTGCTGACCAACCCCCAAAAAAATTCTCTTTTGTCATTGCAACAAATGAACAAAAAATAATAGTCTAAGAGTATATTGTATTTATAAAGTAACCGGACTTAAATCGGGTTTGTGAATAGAAAACAATTTTCTTTTTTTCTTTTCGTGAGCTAAGACAGGTGCAAAAAAAATCAAGGAAAAGTTCACAAATAAATTTAAAGAAAAACTAAAAATCACACAAAAAACGCAAATATGTATACATAGTGAACTGAACTAATGAATTATTTAAAGCTTCAATTTTTTATAAGCTAGGCCTATGTTTTTCGTTTTCCTCTCAAAATAGAAGCTTATGGAACAGATTAATATGTTACATAAATTCAAAAAAAGTCGCAAGTAAGTAAAAAAATAACTATAAAAGCCAAAATCTTAATTCAGAGAAAAAGGGCCATTTCAAACAACGTCAATACTTTCCTGTATTGAATACTTTACTGTTAATAAAACACAAACTAAATTCACAAAATTAGGGAGTTGATAAATAACTCCCTATCCAAAAATAATGTTGAATCCAGATGATGATATATTGAACTTCACTGTTATTCTAGAAATTTAAATAAAATAATAAATATATTTTTAAATATTAAGTAGATTTTTTATATTCCCCGCAGCTTAGAGCATGGTGGGCGGATACGGATATCCGGATCCGAAAATTGTGAATATCCGAAAACTTTTGATCGGGTTCGAATATCAGGGATTTCCCAAGTATAGAATTAGATAGAAGCTCATAGTGGTCCTATCTGATTTTGAACAGATCACAAAAAAATTTCAAAGAAAAGTTCAAACATAAAATATAGAAAAGCTAAAAATCATTCACAAAAAACGCAAATATGTATAGTAGGGGTGGGCTTAGTCTCGTATCTCGTATTTTGCCACAAGACACGACATATTTTCAATTAATTTTAGAAAAATTCAAAAATCTGGACTATTTTAAAAAAGAAATCGGAGTCTAAAATAGGAAAGGACTCAACAAACGAATTATCTGAAGCTTTAATTTTTTATAAGCTAGGCCTATGTTTTTCGTTTTCATCTCGAAGTAAGACCTATGGAACAGGTTAATATGTTACATATATTCTGAAAAAATAGTTAACTTGACGTAGGTAAAAAAATAACTAAAAAACCAAACTTTTAATTCAGAGAAAAAGGCTTTCTTTCCTGTTAAAGAAACAAAACTAAATTCTAAAAAATTAGGGTTGAAAAATAACTCCCTATCCAAAAATAAGGACACATCATTTCAGGCCCGTTCTTAAACTTCCCTGTTATTCTAGAAATTTAAATAAAATAATAAATATATTTTTAAATATTAAGTAGATTTTTTATATTCCCCGTAGCTTATTTGTTAGAGCAAGGTTGGCGGATACGGATATCCGAATCCGAAAAAGTTTGAATATCCGAAAATTTTTGATCGGGTTTGGATATCAGGGATTTCCCAAGCATAGAATTAGATAGTATAGAATTAGATCCTCTCGAAGTAGAAGCCTATTTTAAGTATGAACGTTATCCTAAAAAATACAGTATCTGGAGAAGATCCCATTAAAAAAGTTTTTTCAGTTTCAAAAAGGAGAATCAACAAAGTAAAAACTTGTTTCTCTCGAAAAAATTTTTACCTAATCTCAAATTAATGCCACAAAAATAACAAAAAAAATAAATTAGGGATATACGAAGAATGGGATATTTTGTTCAAGTATCGGGGCAATAAAGAAAAGAATGTGTGTTCAAAAAATCAGTGTAGGGGGTGGTTCGCTGCTGGCAAGAAGGAAAAAAAATGAAAAATTGGTATGGACGGAAAAAAGGATTTTTGAAAGAAAAACAAGTTTTCCGGGCAGTTCGCCACATTACCTTTTTTCTTTCCTTTTTTTCTTTCGCCAGCTGAGCGGCTTTAGTGTGCCAAGATGGGGAAGGTGTGGGGAGGTTACTTTAAAAAAGAGAGGTGGGAATAAGCAAGAAAATGGTATTTAACTAGAAGTATCGTTAGAAAAATTTTGTAGAGAAGGGAAGGGGAAAGAGGGGGGGAAGGAAGGAAAATGAAGGAAGAAGGGAGGGAGGGGGGATGTTTAAATGGGACAGCCGATAAGCAGAAGAATAAAAATGGAGGAGGATTGTAAAACCAAGAAAAAAATTGTGAGGAGAAGCCAACAATCCGGACAGTTTTTTCCCTTCAGCTTTCCTCAATTTTCCCTCGAAACCAGTTTTCCTCGTTTTCGTTGTATAAACGATCCCTCAATCTCCTCCATATAATATTTTATATATATCCCCCGGCTGGTCCTCGGCAATCCTAGAAAAAATCTTTGAAGGGATGAGTCGTGACAATGAACGGGCCATTGACTTGATGAGAAAATAATGCGAGAGGGGATAGAAAAGATTTTAAGTTTGGTTGGGAGATTGGAGGAAGGATGAGATGATTAGGGGAAAAATGGCAAAACTAGGGTAAGATAGAAAATGCCAGTCGCAGTTGAATAAATTTTTTTTTGATTTTAGAAGAAATCTAAATTAAAAAATTGACTCTCAAAAGCTAAAATAAATATTGGTTGATGTGCCGAAGGGCTTAACAAAAATACAAAGCATTCAACTTGGATTTAAGGTTCAGGCTATGGGCAGTTGTGGGTATCAGAAATAATAACAAATTATCAATTCAGATTGCTCATGTGCCTAGAGTCGAATATTTCAAAAAACTTCCTTTCAAGAAATTAATCTTTGCTCGATTACTCTTTTTATTCAAAAATTTATTTCGTAGAGATTCCTTCTCTATAATCTAAATAGAAGCGCCGATTCAAACTCTGCGCTAGCTAGTAAATGTGTGTCCAAATTACCCAACAGAAAAAAGATGTAAGAGAATAAAATGTAAAATGAATAAGCCAATATACAATGGGTACATAAATCAGAGGACTAACACTAAAATGACTGGCAGTAAATGAAGTGATGAAAAATACATAATATATATTTTAATATTAAAATGTTGGATAGACTAGTAGTAAAGGGGAGAATTGATCTCGAAATTAAATTAATGTGTTTTTGGTGAAAAGACTAGAGAAAAACAGGAGGACATAGAAAAAGAGAAAAACAATCAGAAATAACAAATCAGAATAAAATAAAAACAAACAAAACCAGAAGACAAGAAAAACATTAAAGAAAACACAAAAACAAACAGAATTAAAAAATAATATCAGAACAAGAAAATATATAAACACAAAAACATAAAAACACAAACAAAACCAGAAGACAACAAAAACATTGAAGAGAAACACAAACACCCAAAATCAGAATTTCAAAACAACATCAGAACAATTAAAATAAAAACGGAAAACACAAAAACAAGAAACATGGTGGTTTTGTTTACATGTTCATTTGAAATTCTGATTTTTTTGTTCCCAACAAAATCAGAATAATGTTTAAATAGAAAATTAAAACACAAAAACATTGTTCGATTCAAACTTTTTAAATACAACAAAGAAAACACAAAAGTGTTTTGTTCAGAATGAAAGGCAATTATAAAAATATAGCTAGATATATACTTGTTTGAACAAAAAATGCAAATAGGTTTTGAATAGTACACAAAACAGAAAATAAATATATATTGAAAGCGCAATTTTTATATAAAGCTTTTGTTGTTGCTATAAAGATTGAGCCGGAACAATCAGAAAAAAATTTTTTTAAAGAAATAATATTCAAGAATAAATTTAATAAAAGCAAAAATTATTAGACTTTGTAAAGAAAAAAAGTAACTGAAGTGAAAGAGCTGGAAATTGAAATTTTTGGGTAATGTCTGAAACAGATTAATATGTTAAACTTTGAATAATCTACTTTCCGATAGGAACAGGCAACTTAAAACTAACATCTTAATACAATAAAACAGGACCCTTTCGAACATAAAATAGATTCAAAGAAATTGGGGAGTTGAAAAATAACTCCCTATACAAAAATAGTCCTAGTGACGACAATGGAATTTACATTTGCAAAGTGGCCCAAAGTGTTAGATATTTAAATAAAATGATAAATATATTTTTAAATATTAAATAGATTTGATCTTAATGTTCACAAAAAAACAAAGATTAATGAATTAATTTATATTTTGCGTTTCTTTTAAGATAATGGTCCTATCTCGCTAGCTCAGAGTAAGGTGGGCGGATAAGGATATTCGGATCCGAAAATTTTAGATCGGATATCACGGATTTCACAGGTACAAAATCAGATAGGAGTGCAGAGTGGTCCTTCTGATTATGGAAGGTATCTAGTCGTTCCTTCGATCAGTAAATCTCAACTCCAGAGAAGTTTGAACTAGATCCAGAAAAATTAGGGAGTTGAAAAATAACTCCCTATCCAAAAATAGATATCATTCTATTGGAGGCCAAAACTTAATCTTGCCTGGTGTTCTAGAAATTTAAATAAATTAATAAATATATTTGTACATATTAAGTAGATTTATTTTTGTATTCCCAGCAAATTGAGATCTTAAGGTTAATGAAATAATTTATATTATGCGCCTTTTTGGCGCATAATATACATTCATAAATTATTAGCTTTTTTGAAGGATATTGCCATCTAGCTATGCTCACAGTGGTCCTATTTGTTTCCTATCTGATTCTGTTCAACATCATAGACCCTGTCTATACTTCTTTAACTGGCAAGTAAGGACTTTCAAACCAAATAGCAAATTTTAAACCCCTTAAAACTCCAACATTTCCCTTAAAAGGGTTTAAAAATATTTTTAATTTAAATAAACAAGTGTTCTTTTTCAAAAACAAAGTTTAAGCTTCTTTTTAAAAAAACAGTTGAATTAAATTTAAAAATATGCAAAAATTGAAGATGACTCTTTAACTACTTTTTTGTTGTTGTCATTCATTGCGGTGACTGAGACTGGTTTTTGCTAATCTCGCGCCTTCCCTCATTCATTCAAAAATACCCCGACATTTCTGCTTTTTACTCTTCTTCTCCCCTTCCTTCCCTACTATTTATGCGCTGACCTTTATCTAAATAAATATATCTTTTATTTTTATTCCCTCAATTAGATAAAAATGAAGATGAGTTGAGGGAGAACATATTTATTTAGGTATTTTTGTACTTTAAAGGTTGTCAGAAAGAATTCCTTAGTGTTAGGTAAGGTGATTTTCACGTACAATGAACTCTCGATTTAACAGGTGGCTTTTCTCCTATCCCGAAGAGAGGAGAAATGATAGCGAGTAGGGTTGTCAGTTCCGGAACGAACCGATCCGAACCGAAAAAATTAGGAAGTTAAAAATAACTCCCTATTCAAAAATATATATGCATTGAATACGAAAAGGACTTATCAAACCTGGTAAGTGTTATAGAAAGTTAAATTAAATAATAAATATATTTTTATATATTAAGTAAAAATATTTTTAAATTTCTAGAAAATTAAAATTTAAGATTAATGAATTAATTTTTTCGGCTCGATTCTTCGGTTTGGTTTCAGATATCGGAAGAATTTACAGAATCGACAACCCTAATAGTGATGGGAAAGTGTGTTAACTTCTGCTTCAAAAATATTAAAGAATTATATTCCCCGGTATTGCCAGGTCGCTTGAGAGTTAATTGTAAGCCTAGGAAACCGAAAATCCCAGATACTAGAGAAGCAACTTAAATCCGAAACAATCCATTAAATACCCTCTAAAAGGATAAAATTGAAGAAACATAAAGCAAAATAAACAAAAAATTCAGTAAAATTTAAAGGGAGTCGCGAGAATTGAGGGAAGGAAAGAGAACCGAAATTGTTTTGATCGAGAATGTAAAAATAAAAATATTAAAAATAAAAATGTGCGGGAATGTCTTTTCTGTGCCTTTCACTTAAATTGAGGGATATACGAGAAATGAGGGCAAAAAAAGCTTCTGAGAATTTCAGAAAGGAAAAAACGGGGGAAGGGGAATTTTGTGCACAGTCCAGTCACTCATTCCCCCTCCATTTAAATTTTATTACATCCTTTCAAATCGCCTCATCTTTCCTTTCCTTCCCGCCGGGAGCCGCGAGAATTGTTGCTCTTTGATGCGCATGAGCAGCTAGATTATTTATTTATTTTGAAGGGGAAGATGAAGAGAAGGTGGAGGAAGAAGGGATGTTTTGAAGCAGCGGCAAGAATAAATTTTTTGAAACTAAAAAGGAAGAGGAAAATAAAATTAAAATGGATATACTAAGGATATATGAAGGATATTTACATATAAATATTTATTTTTGGGTAGAATAATTTGTTTTGAAAATATGAGGAAAGATGGGAAACTACAAGCAGAGTCATAACTTCGTTCAGAATTGTCGAATCCGGACGCCCTGTTTCGATTCAGCTCGTCGAGGCGCATCAAATCTTACAAAGGAGTCCCGGATACGACAATCCTGAACAAGTTATAGCTATGTTGTAAGTTGGGCTCACGGTAAGATGGCATGCTCCTCTACAAGGGTGTTAGGTTCTCAGAAATATTGCACAGACACCCTTACCAGTAAACTTATAAAAAGTACTTGGAGAGTTCCCTGATACTAACACTCTCAGTCTCATAATTTACTGAACAAAACTGATCCTTAAAACAAGAACTATAAAAAGACCAAAAAATGATAAACTCGATTTTTAATTCCAAATATGTAACCGGTTGGTATGGGAAGATCGAGAATGGATCATGTAAAATTTGGGAGAATTTAAAAATTTTTGAAGTTAAGGACCCCATTCTCCCATATAAAGATATTGAAGAAGAGGCCTTAGAATGAGAGAAATGTAAATAAATTAAAGAAATGACATTTATCACAGAAACCGTTTTTAAAAGAATTTATCGAGAAAATTTATTCATAATAAACTCAAAAACACCGCAATACACACATGTTGTTATTTTTATTGTCCCTCACGGAATTTGCGCAAAAAAAAAAAGAAATATTTATTTATGTAAAAGAGATTGTGAGGGAAATAAAAGGAGGAAGCTGTACAAGTCTCGAGGTCATTCTCACATCAAAAAGCTGTATTTATAATTTATAAATACAAAACAACCTCAGAAATGGTTGTCAATTTCACTATAATCAATATATAATTTATTTAAGAAAAAAAAATAAATTTAAAAATTTTTAAAAAAAGTGGTTGGATCGAGACTTGAAAATGTTAGACACCCTCGGACTGGAAATAATGAGGCACTGTCAATTGTGCTTCAGTCTGGGGTCATTTCAAGATGGATCTATCCATACAATTAAACCTTCGAGATGAAACAAAAGCCTATCAGAGATAATACTTGGAACATTTCAAGCAACATGGGCCTAAGCAAAACCCAGTATTTACATTAAAATATTGCAAGGTTACTAGGAAGGGGTTTCAGAAAATGTCTGTCGCAAGTTTCGAACAACAGAAACCTTCGGATTTGAAATGAAATAATAAAGAATATTGAAGAAAAAGACTAAAAACAAATTTGAATAAAAACAAGTTGGAAAAATTTTAAAGTTTATAAAATAGAGGTATTTAAAAATTGAGATTATAAAGAATAAAATATCCCAAAACTCAAAATAAAAGCTATAGTCGCAAATTTAAAAATCATTTAAAATCTTATATTTAAAAAGCGAGAACAAAAAGCAGCAGATGCTTTTACATTTTCTCTATAAATGGCGCCAACTAACATACTGTGCTCTAGAAACTAAAGAGAGGGAGGGGAAGGACAGTGGAAGCTGTCAACAACAACCAACCGACGGCTGGCGTTCGAATCACGAGACAAGCTGTTGAGAAAAAAAAGAATTTGAGAGAGGATTGAAGGAAGGGCGATGTTCAAATAGTAGTTGAAGAGAATGAGCTTTTTAAGTAACGAAGAAAAAAAGAGCGGCCAAAAAGCTCGTCATGATATCACCTAAGTTAATGGAAAATAACTATGGCTTAGTGGAATCCCTAGTCTGGAAAAAATGAGATTATGTATACTTTTAAAAATCTGAAGACGGGAAGGTAGAAGAAAGAAAAATAGAACCAGGTGTATAAGTAAATGCCCAAAATTTTTCATAAATCGGACATCGCAAATTTGAACAAACTCAAATAACTCGAACAAAATTAAATAGATGATTAATTTTTGTAATATGTACTAGTGTTGGTCAAACGCGTTTTTTCGGTATCGGTATTTTCGGTAAAATACCGATACCGAAAAAATACCGATTTTTTAAAAATTGTTCGGTACCGTATTCGGTATCGGTATTTCGGTAAAAATACCGCGGTATTACCGAAAAATACCGCGGTAATACGGTACCGTGACCAACACTAATATGTACATAGTATTAAAAAGTCAAAGTTCAAAAATATAAAATTAAAAAGTCGGGAAATCAAAAAATAAATAGAATAAAAATAAAAACAAAAGCTTTAAAATAGGCTTACTTTAAAGGTTTTTTACTTAAAGGCAGCTGGTTTGAATTTTCAATAGAAAAATATTTTTTTTCGTAGGGTAAATACAATTTAATAGAAA